GAGTTGTGAGAAACGTACCTCGTTTGCCTCACCTTTACAAGGTGTTTTGTCGCTAAGTGTTAAAAATATGTTCCTTTACTACCCATATTTTATCAGTTTTAACTTCCTGAACATGTTATAATCGATACATTGCTTGAAATAACTGTAGAGGAACTTAAAACTTGTGGACGATGAACATTATCGTGCTGGCAAACAGGTTGCTTATGAAATATCAGCAGCACCTGATTCCTGTCTTTTTCAGTTAGTCCTCTGATCTTCTCCTGATCTTCCTCCTTTTCCTGCCTCGTCTCTCTTTTGCCTCCAGATCAAGCTGGACTCAGCAAATGCGCCCGCATGAACAGGCGGCGTCATTCACTCCAGTAATTTTCTTTTGCTCTCCCTGGTGGTGCTTCTCTCCTCATTCTTTTCTCCTCCCTCCTTCTGGAGAACTCCAACCTGCACTTCTCCATTTTGCATTGCATTGATGTGAGCCATGTGTCTACATGTGTGTTTGTGCTTGAGGAGTGTGTGCGCTATGCAGCAGAGTGCTGCTTAAAGCATCAGCCAGCACAAGGGAAGTGTGCGCTCAAGCAAAAACAATGGCATTCTGGGTAAAAATAGCCCCACACACTGTTGGAGGTAGAAAAAAAAAACTAGGCTGAGATTGACAAGCAGGGAGATGAAAGGGAGGGGAAGATTGGAGTCTAATGACTGTGTGTCGAAAAGAGAAATGAGATAAACTGTGGATGAAAATGTGCCTAAACTGAACGGAAAGATGAATTACTGAGACCGGAAGCAGCCTAATAGGACGTCTCCATGGCAACTGACCTGGTGGCTATAAATGTGCACAATGCATTTGCAATATTGTCAGATATTATTAAAGTTAATGGACATCTGTTGACAGTATATATATATTTTTTTATTATTATTATTTATTATTATATATTTTTTTAAGTGGTTGACTTTATGGAAACGTTTGACTACTTCTCCGTTTTTCAGTTTAATAATGAAGTCATTTTCTGCTGCTGCATCTTTTTCACTGATACTATAAAAAAAATAATAAAAGTTTTCAAAACATCAACCAATAATTTTCCATCATGCTTTTGGGAAAGATGTGGCAATTTGTGCGGTTTTTATCATTTGGAACATTTAGATACCAAAATAATTTTTGGTTGCTGAATTAAACAAGATTTAGTCCAAAACTGACTGATGACATGACATGGTGACATGTACTGGACTTATCCTGGATAAATATTGTGTTTGTTGTCATCATCTATTGGTCTTTGTGCTTTAGTTGTCATTTAGTCTTTAATTCAATTATTTAAACTTTGTTATGGACGTTGTTCTGCAATTTTTTTTTTACTGCTTGTTTTGTGTTTTATGGTTCCTTATTTTTCACTTTTCTTTGTTTTAATTTTGGAAGATGGTTTTGTTTCCTGTTAATCACTCCATCCATTTGTGTTAACTAGTCATATTCCCTCGGCTCCTCTGATGGTTAATCATCTCCCCAGCAGTTAAAAGCCATGAAATTTCTTTACATCCTTATCAGAGCCTTTAGCTGTGCATTTCTGTTCTGGTTTTACTGTACTCCTGTTTCTGCTGCTTGATTTTTTCAGTCAGTGTTTCTCCAGTGCATCTCATGCCTGTTCCTGGCTTTGGAACAATTTTTCTTTCTACACTTACTCTGATGGTTTCACTGTATTTAACAAATCCCTACAAAAGAGGTGGAGTGTGAGCCAGTATAAATCCTCTAAAAGAAAATAACAGAACAGAAAACTAGCAGCACAAAAAGTATTTAAAAGGAGAGAATAAAATATAGCAGTCGCCAATAAATGTGAGAGGAGAGGTAGACTTGAAGCCATGAAATGAATAGAAAGTAGGAGCTTGACATATGGAGCGTTGTTGACATTGTTTGTGCCATGTAGGTCAAGTGGACACCGCTTGTGCACTCTGCAGGATATTTCTTGCTCACAAACAGGTATTCTGTGGCGTCATCTGCTGGCTTCAAGACAAAAACAACAGTTGCAAAAAAAGAAAACAAAAAAAGGCGTCAGTAGTTTGAGAAGCCACTGAACACATCGGCACTGGACATACACACTTGCGTAACCATATTTTAATCCTTCTACAGAGTCTTTTATTAAATTGGGCTAAAATATTTTCATCTCTAAAATCTGTGACTTTAAGATCTTTAAAGCAATACGCAAAGAAAAGTTGTTTATCTCTTATCCTGAGCCACTACATTATATAAGAGCCTTCATTTATTGATAAAAGATAAGAATGTGACTTATTATTAAGTTATTCGTTTTAAATGTTTTGGGGGTTTTTGTAACTTAAATAAGTTTGACAGAAAGTTATTAAACAATAATAGATTTTTTCTAACGATGCTCCCAAATGTACATATTTCTGATACTTTATTGCAAATATTTACGTGTCACAAATAGATTGTCCAGCCAGTCCACCTCTTTTTGATCATTTTCTATTAATTTAATGCATCACTGGACAATAAAAATTACAGAATGCAACCAAGACTTTGGTTGTCTCCTCACAATTAGTGATATTGCAAAGCCAAAACCATCCCTCATAAAAGGTGGGCTCTAAAGGATTGGGAGTCTTAGAATGGCTCCTGATCAGAGATGAGCACGCAAAAGGATTCGGAGAGAGACGGAGATAAAGGCGGCGCAGGAGGACGGAGAGCCATTTAGAAAAGCCTGAGCATCAGTGGGGAGTTACAGAAAGAGCAGGTGGAAAACAGCAGCGATGGTAGATAACTGTTGAAGAGAGAGTGCTGCATCTATCAATTATTCATTACGTCGGTAATACAGTCTCTCTCTTGCCCCAAATAACATTAGCTGTCCTGGATAGAGGCAGACAGAGAGACAGAGAATAAACACATGGTGCTGGTGGCTGGTGAGAAGACGCTGGAAACACTGAAAAGAAAGTTTGACATTAACTACTATTTGTGTGTCTGGTTTTTATTTTAAACAAAAATCTGACTTTTTTTTTTTTTTTTGTATAGCACATTTCAGCTACAAGGCATTTCAAAGTGCTTTACATCATAAACACAAAACACAAAGCCATGCAACATACAATAAAATACCAAGTGTTTTTTTTTCTTTCTTTTCTTTTTGTCACGGAATTTAAGCGCCTGTTACCGCCGGACTCCGCCGTCCGTTTAACCACGGGTATTCGTCGGGGCCCGTTCCCCACAACAGAAAAAAATAAAAATAAAAAATTACATACATATCCACGAATACAAATCCATACATATTACATTTCAAATACAATTCTAAACAGGTGCGTTTTTACTTGAGATTTAAAGGAAGTCAGGGTTTCTGCTGTTTTACAGTTTTCTGGAAATTTGTTCCAAATTTTTGGTCCATAGATGCTGAAAGCTGCTTCTCCTCTGCTTCTCCTTGTTGTTTACATGTTCAAAGTAAATATTTCATCCATTCACCCTTTCATTAAATCATGAATGATTCAATGAATGAATGAATCATCCATGAGTATCAATTCACATGGCAACCAGACGGATGCGTAATCAATAGTGAAAAACATCTTAATGTGTTTTTGTGATACTTTTTTTTACAAATTTTAAACACAACATTTCCTCTAATTGCAGCTGTTCAGCTTTAAGCCCAGCCAACCATCTACTGCATCTTTCATTTCAGACAAGCGATGAGAATCTCCACTGAAGATGTTAAATGTTTAGCTCTGTGTTTATTTCGAAGTCATTTCTGCCCTTTCTGTGTCAGTTTGATGCAGCTTCCTCACACTTAGCAGTCTGTGAAGTGGTGTGAGTAAAGGCTAATGGGATGAAAATAGTGTGTGGCTGTCAGAATGGCTTGGCCTTTTGGAAACTTGTGTCAGCTTAGTTCAGCCTGCCATCATTCTGACAGCTCTGTTTTCAAATGAGATCTCCAAAATGCACAGAAACGAGTCTCTGAGTGCAGTGCGTGTTAGCGGGAAAGACTCAAAACAATGTGAAGAACTCTAATCTAAGTGTACAATGTTTTAATTTTGGCAAATTACATAAGTTTTATTTTATGAAAGAACGTGCATAAATATTTATTCAACTCCTTTTTTGCACCTTATAACCAATTTCCTGATATTTCTAATGATGATGTGAAGAGATCACGTCTGACCAATCCTTGTGGATTGGTCCAGCCCTGTCACTATTTAACACTGTGTAAAATATTTTCTTCCAAAGATGTCTATCTATCAGACAGTGAATATAGAACACATCACCATGACGTAAAAACCTACCATCGTCTTACGTATGTTAAAGTCATTAACACTGACATTATTAAGTAGCATAATTTAACCATCTTGTTGCTTCTTCTTTCATCTAGTTCAGGCGTCTGCATACTTTACAACTCAAAGAGCCACTTTTGTCCTCGGCTCAGCTAAGCAAATCTCATTTAGAGCCGCTAATGATTTTTGGAAAAGACAACAATTGATGTTTTTTTTTTTTTTTTTTTTTAAAGAAATACGTTTTTGTTTATATTTTGGGGTTTTAAACAAAATAAAACCAAAACTTTTACCCTAAATAGCAGATACATTTTCTTCTATAAAAAATGATGCTAAGAAAACAGTTTCCAACCAAAACACATGAAAACTAGATCTAAAAGAACATTACTGGTACTTTAGGTGACATTTAATTACTCTATGAAAAACCTGAAAACTACATTAATTATCTTCAACTACATCTGCTGGTTCATTATTGTTATATTATTTTTACCCACAATTATTAAAAGCCACTTAATAGGTACAAGGAACCATTTGCAGCTTCAGAGCTGCAGGTTGCTGATCCATGTTCTAGTCTGTGATCAGCAGGTTCTGTAATTCAAAATGGCTGCCTGTGAAGGCAAGTCTCTTCTCTAACCAAACAAACTGGGTCACAGTTTTAGACCAAATGCTTGGTGAAGACTACAAAACCTCATCTGTATGTGTGCATATCTATTTCATGTTTTTAAAAAAACAACTAATTACTCGTCTTTTGTTTTTTATTCTGTGTTCTTCAGAAAAAAGAGTGGTTATGTCTTAACTGCCAGACCCAACGGCTGTTGTCTGGAGGAGCCCTTGACGAGCCTCCTCTTCCTGTTCCCCATCCTTCCCCGAAGCACCAACCAATGGGCTCACCTCGTCACCAGACGCCGACCAGTCAGCAAAGCCCTCTCCACAAGTCAACCACTCAGCAAGGACCCAAACCGGTCCAACCCCAGGGACAAAAATCTCAGATGGGAACAGGTCTCGGTGGACCTACTGGTCCCACGCCTGCCAAACAGCCCACCGATGCTAAGACCACAACCCCAGCCACAGCACCAGTGCCAACCCCCGAGGCCCAGAAACCCACGAAACCACCAGAGGAGAAGCCCAAGACGGAGCCTGAGAACCAAACTGCCAAAGACACCAAACCTTTGCAGAAGAAAGGGGAGCAGATCACTCCAGTAAAGGAAATCAAGAAGTCAAGGCACTATGACGTAAGTTTGACGTTCTTTGTTCTATTTTTCTTTTGTTTTAAAAAAGGTTTGAATACCAAAGTACTGGAGCAATGTGAGGCAATGCTAATATCGTCAGTGGGACTGCATTTACATGTCATATATATATACTACATATCTGATCCAACTTTAGGAAAATTTCATATTTTCATTTTTCAAAGACTTGACAAAATTAGACCAGCTTCTGAGTTATAAAGAGTCCCCTGAAAATGTAGGTAATTTTTGTTAATGTTTTAAACCTCACAACAGTGTATTGCACAATATACATTTAAGTAAACTTATTTTATACATATATATTTTTTTAAATTTTGCTGGCGTAATGAAAAGAAGAAAAAGCTTCTCTACTTTGGCTTAATCTCTTTCATTATTAATTCATGAATATTTGTCAGTTTCCTTTATGTTTCTTTCTGTTATGAATTTATTTAAAGTCATTATAAAATGTCAGAGCCCTCTAAAAGATATTCAACCTTGTTCTTTTAATCAAATTAAATGAAATGCAAAACCAAGTTTTTTGTCTCATTGTGACAATTTCTTGAATTATTTGTGTCTCTGGTTAAAAAAATAACAAAACTTTCCTGGCAAAGAAAGCCTCCTCGCCTGTATAACATGTTTGACAGGCTGGATACAAAAAGCACATTTACCTTTTTTAGCTTTTATTAAAGATGGAAAAAGGCAATGAAATGTTTTTATTTGATTCTCATTTATAGGATATAAATACCTGACATTTTAACAAGGGTGATTAAAACCTTTCATTGCCATAGAAATCCATAGAAAGTTTTACCTTTCAGTGGTTTCGTGTTAGTCATTTTGAGCTTGATGTCCAAAAATGTATAAAGACTTAAAACATGTATTTTAACTGACTGTGTGAGGTGAACATGTCCTAAAGCAAAATAACTACCATCCCTCATTTAATTTTATAGCAACCTCATTTCCATAATCTTTCGCTGGTTTTTCACATACCAAGTCAAATCTCTGCATTCATTTCCTATTTTAGGTCTTTTTTACATTTACATTTAAGCATTTACATTGCTTAAATATAGAAAATTGAGAGAGCAAGCCTCCAGGTTTTATACCTTATATAAGGCATTTAGCCTCCGTTGTCTAGAATGTAAAAAAACCTGAGTCCTCTTGCCTTTTCTCTTTGCAGCTCTATTATTTTTCATATTCATTCATTTTAGAACATTTTTAAATCCAAAAAGGCTCATGCAATCAATCAAAATTACCCTCTGGTTTTTCAACCAGACTTATAATGTTAATATTTTGTGGCACTTGATTCCTACTGAATGTGGATCTGTTATACTATGATAATTTGATTAACTTAGTCTTCTCGACATTGCAATAAATAAATTTTTTGTGCAAAACGTGTTTTTTGTTTGTTTGGTTTTTTTTTTACATATTCCCAGGTAGAAAAAAAACTATTTTTATTTTTATTAACTTTTTATTAACTAACTTATTTTAAATCTAAAAAAAAAAATCTCTTCAATTATATAAAAAAAATGTATCAACAAAATTGTCCATTTCCATTACTTTGGACCCAAACCCTACAGCCAAATTTCACCTAATGTAATTTTTCTTTGTTTCTGTTTTCTGTAGGACACAAAAAACAACAGCACCCATGACTTGTCACGCAGCCCTCAGAGTCTCAGTGACACTGGCTACTCCTCTGATGGGATCTCCAGCTCACACAGTGAAATTACAGGTCTAATCCAAGAGGAGGAAATGAAGCTGAGTGAGAGGGGAATCAGTGGGCGGGGCTCTCCTCCAAGCCCCTCTGAAATCACCAAGCTAGAGAGCTCGATGAGGCCACTGCTGGAGAAAAGCCTCTCTGAGGAAAAGCCTGACAGAAGGGGAAGAAAGCACAGGGACAGAGACTTGGATGACAGAGGAAAACACCGACCACGTTCCCTTTCAATTCCTCCAGATGCATATGATTCTGATGAGGAATTAGAGGATATAATGGAGGAAGAGGAAGATGGCAGAGACTGGGAGAGTAAACGAAAAGACGTAAAGGAAGATAGGAAAGAAAAGAAGAAGAAGGAAAAGGAAAAAGACGCTGATCAAACAGAGATGACTGATGAGGAGTTCATGAGGAGGCAAATAATGGAGATGAGTGCTGATGAGGACAATGAGGAGGAGGAGGAAGAGGAAATGGAGGAAGACGAAGATGAGGAAGATGAAGGTTATGGCTACCAGAAACCGAAGAAAAGCCACCATAAGCACATCATTTCTGACTCAGGGAAAGAAAAGAGACGGCTTCAGCACCATTCGAGTAGTTTTGAGGAGGAAACCAAGACCTCTGCCGATGTCTATAAGGGTTCTGTGGAGGAAGGGGAGGAAGATGTTATGGCGTCTCAAGGGGGGCTGAGGCGCTTTAAAACCATTGAACTCAACAACACCAACAGCTACAGCCGAGATATGGAGTTGAGCAATGAAAATGATTTAAACCTGGATCGGGAGCCAGAGCTGGAGATGGAAAGCTTAACCGGATCTCCAGAGGAGCGTTCTAGGGGGGACTATTCTTCGACTTTGCCTCCAACTTCATCTTCATATGGTTCAGGACAGTCTCCAACATCCATTTCATCAATGGAGGAAGACAGTGACAGTAGCCCAAGCAGGAGGCAAAGACTGGAGGAGGCCAAGCAGCAGAGAAAAGCACGCCACCGGTCTCATGGCCCCCTGCTTCCGACCATTGAAGACTCCTCAGAAGAGGATGAACTCAGAGAGGAAGAGGAACTTCTGAGAGAGCAGGAGAAGATGAGAGAGGTAGAACAGCAGAGAATAAGAAGCACAGCGAGAAAAACCAAAAGGGATAAGGAGGAGCTGAGGGCCCAAAGACGCAGAGAAAGATCCAAAACACCACCTAGTAATTTGTCACCAATTGAAGATGCTTCCCCTACAGAGGAACTAAGACAAGCAGCAGAGATGGAAGAGCTTCATCGTTCCTCTGCTTCTGAATATTCCCCCCAAAGTCTGGACTCTGAGGCCGAGGGGTACGAGTCCAAAATCTACAAATCGGGCAGTGAATACAATCTGCCTACTTTTATGTCTCTCTATTCACCTATAGAGAAATCTTCCTCAACTACAACAACCACTGCACCATCATCGACCTCCAAACCTCTGAAAAGTGCTGAGGAAGTTTATGAGGAAATGATGAGAAAAGCAGAAATGCTGCAAAAGCAAGAAAAGCTACAACAGCAGCAACCACAACGACATGGACAGTACTATGAGGAGGACATGAATGGACAAAATTACGACGATGACTATGACTATGAACAAGATCAAATGGGATATGACAATGAAGCAGCAGAAACAGAAAATGACATTTACGAGGAAATACGACAAACATCTCAGAACATCACGAAGATGCAACAGGCCACAAATGAGCAAGTCGAGATTGAAATTGAGAGTTCTTTTGCAGATAAGCAGCTGCTGGACACAGGCTCCGCCTTTGCTAAACTAGTAGAGCAAAGCAATGCGCTGTTAACTCCTGGGACAAGTCCTACCCAGGTCTCAGCTCCTGTCTCCTTTGCTGAGAGTGGAGGTCGAATACCAGACGTGAGAGTAAGCCAGCACTTCACCGTAAAGGATGGGCACAAAGACAGAATTAAAAGCCAAGCAGGAAAGAACGGCATAACTCCAGCGGTGGCTGCTACCACCATTGCAGCTTATGGGGTTTATGCCAGAGACGCAGTGACAATTTCCCAAACAGGATCAAGCCACACTATGACATCAACCCAATCTGATACCTCACGCAGACACACAGGGAGTCTTGCCACATCCTCAGCTACAGTCTCAAGTGTATGTAGCAAGATCGCAGAGATTACCCAGGCCTATAGTCAAAGAGAAGTTATTACCAGAAGGATTGGGGAGACAAGAGGTGTTCAAATGCGAGAAAGCTCGACATCATCTGCTGAGAGAATTATTGAACCACGCTCTCCTAAGTATACTACATATTACAGGAGCACAAGTCCTCCTCTCTCTCCATCACCCCCACCACCACAAAGTCCTATTCGCTCCCCTTCCAGAAGGTCTACTGCTGAGTTCTCCACACAGACCTTCAGCTCAGCACTGCGGATGGAGCCAGCTGGTTCTGGGCCCACATCACCTGTGATGGCTCAGGGAACCCAAACAGCACATCGATCAGTTTCCCCAAGGCTATATCGACAACAGTCTTCCCAGGAGGCTCCGTACTCCCCACCTCCAGGTCCAACTAGGCCAATGACAGTGAACACTGCAACTTCTCCGTTATCCTCACCCACTCGATTTAGCCGTCAGTCAACATTTGATAGCTATTCTCCATGTGGCAGCCCCCCGGACACACCACCTTATCAACAGTCACCTACACACAGCTTCTATAGAGCACAAAGAGTGGAGAAGGTGAATGTGGGGACAAGCATGGTCACTACTGCTAGCTTATACACCAGAGGGTCTGTGTCCATGGATAATATCTCTCTCTGCCGAATATCTACAGTCCCGGGTACCTCAAGGGTTGAGCAGGGCCATATGATCCAAGGTGGTAGTGTTGTAGATCTAAGAACTGCAACCCACTCAGCTCCCATTATCATGACTGATCAGGGAATGGACCTTACTTCCTTAGCTACAGAAAGCAGGAAATACCATGGTGGACCAGAAGGTTCCAGGCATTCAACAATCATACAGCCACTGATTATGAATTTGAACACACAAGAGACCACCACACCTACCACTGTGAGTGTCACTGTGGCTGCTTCTATGTTTATGACCCAGCTAAAACAACCAGTGGTTTATGGTGATCCCCATCAAAACCGAATAGATCTAGGTCAGGGCATGGGCTCAGCGGTGTGTCTTTCCCAGAACAAATCAGCAATTTCTCCCCCAACTGACCCTTCCATTCCAAAAATCGATGCAAAATTGGAAGATCTCAGCATACAACAAAGAGAATTGCAAAAACAACAAGAGAAGCTACAGAAACAACAAGAGCTCCTTGAACAACAGCTACAACAGCACCATCAGTTGCAACAGTACCAAGTACAGGCATCTGTTCTAGCCAAGTATAACCTGACAGGCCAGGTCTCACCTTTGCCTAAAAAAAATTTATTAGTCAGTCAGACTAGTACTGCATCTACAGTGGTCAGTGCTGTTTCACCAGTCATTAATCCTGAGCTTTACAGCACTGGTCCTGTTGAGCTGAAAGGGAAGCCCAGCCCACCTGGTGTGATGCAAGGAGGTAAATCACCACATGGTATGGTTGTACAAATGGATGAAGGGCCTGAGCCAGTAAGGGCATTGACTCAACTTGTGAAGATAGAAGAAGGACAGGATGCAGTGGATTTGACAGGAGGGCAAATAAAACCTGATCAACCAGCTTGTTGTGATGTAGTTTACAGACTGCCCTTTGGTGGAAGTTGTGTTGGTGTCTCTGAGAAAGAGGGCATAAGGCCACCATCTGCCCCACCTATCACAGATGAGTCAGACCAAGAAAGACAACCTGGAAGATACCATGAGTACCCAATGGATGCACGTAAGGCTTACACGTTACCTTTTCCTGGTAGGCTTCAGCCTTCAATGTCTGATACGAACCTTGCTGATGCTGGCTTACAGTCATACCACTCTAAATATGAGCCACACCTCCAACAATCTGGTGAACTTGTCATGGACTTAACCGCTATGAAACAGAGCTATGGAGGATATATGGGCATGCAGTATGGTTCCTACACAGATTTACGTCATGGAGGAGACATTTCAGCACAAACGTTGCCGATAAGACGATATAATTCCTTGTCTAACATCAGTTCAGATTATGGTTATTCTGCTCGGGATATTGCAAGCTTCCAAGAAGCTAACTTGGCTCAGTACAGTGCTACAACTGCAAGGGAGATAAGTCGAATGTGCGCCGCACTTAATTCTATGGACCGATATGGAAGCAACCCAGACTTGCCGCAGTATGGCAGCTTAGGCAGAGGTACTGGACCAAGTGCCTCCAGACTTGCAGCAGGTATTGGCATAAGGCAAAGTCTGATCTTTGGATTAGATGGAAAGCCTATGTCTCAAAATCAAGCTCTGACAAATCTTATCAATGCCAGGCAGGCTAGTCTGAGGGCCATGTACCCTGCTGCTATTAGGTCATCTGACGGAATGATTTATTCCACCATTCAGACCCCAATAGCTTCAACTCTTCCCATCACCACCCAACCTGCATCTGTACTTCGACCTCTTCTGAGAGGGGTCTATAGGCCATATGCTTCTCCCAACATGACACCAGTGCCCCTGGCCAGTCTCACTAGATTACCCATAAGCCCAAGAATGCCCTTAACTGGACAAGTACCACTTCGTTATCCAGCACCAGGTCTGCTTCAGACAACTTCAACCACTGCATCTACTACTGTTGCTGCATCCACTTCAGCACCAGGAGCAGCCCATCTCCCCATGTCTTTGACAACCACAAGCTCAATAGCCCAAGAGGAACCTGTTTACCTTGGTAAAGTTTCCAAAGTGACCTCAGCAGAGGTCACTTCAGCACAAGGAGTGCTTGTCACATTGACCGAACCACAGCAGCAGCCAATAAACCTGTCCCAACAACAGAAACAAGTGACAACGGCTCAGCAGCCACAGCCTCCTCATGCTGCTCACGTATACCCACCCACAACTCCAGCAACAACCCAAAGCTACACCCAACCTGCTGCAGGCCCATCGGTCCCCTCTAGTGGCTTGTCTATTCCATGTGGTCTTCCTCCTTTCCCTCCACCAGGTGCAATACATAAAGAGGGTGAAACGGAGGCAGAGAGGCTTCACCGACAGCAGGAGCAGCTCCTGCAGATGGAGAGGGAGCGTGTAGAGTTAGAGAAACTTCGTCAGCTGCGACTGCAAGAAGAGCTTGAACGCGAAAGAATGGAGCTGAAGTTGCACAGGGAGAAGGAGCAATTTCTGGTGCAGAGGGAGTTACAAGAACTGCAGAACATCAAGGAACAGGTATAGGGAAAATCAGGATTTGCAATTAAGTGTTATGTCGTGGTGTAAATGTATTTTTTGTTGTGTTTTTTGTTATTTTTCTAAGTTGAATGTCTTATAATTTTTCAAGTGGTTTTCATAAGTAAAGATTCTGCTATTTTACACTAGTAATTGATTAACCTGCTGATGTCTTGGTACATACAACTCAGATGATGTGATGTTTTTACACCTTATGAAGAACAGTAATAACAGTGGAATTGATCTAAATAGAGGTTGCAGAGTTTTTCCTGAATTGGCCACTGAAACATTAAATTGTTTCCCTGGACCAGTATATAAAATAACTTTAATGATTATTTTTGAATGTATTTGCAAGCTCAACTTAGACCTCTGTTTTGAAGCATGTTTCTGAAAATGTGAAATTGTTTAAGATCTCTGTTCCTATTGGCTCACCATCATTAAAATGATAGTGAGTTACACTGTGGGAATGGGATTCCGCCTATGTGTGTGTATGTCTGTTGTATGTATATGTATATAAGATACTGGTGAGCCTGAACTCCTGTCATATTTTTTATTTAAATATGCTCTTAAATTAGCATTTAAGAGCATATTTAAATTAATTCCTCGTTTCATCTAATAAAATTTTAAGTATGTCTTACAAAAAAAAGAGCTAACATAAGCATTTTCTTCTTTTTGTTAGAACAAGCAGTTGAAACTCTTTCAAGTTAACTCTGTAAAACAGGTGAAGCCCCACCCCCTAAAGAGAATGAACTATAAAATGAATGTTTGATTAATATGCATTTCATAACATACAATAGGAACAAAAACCTAACCCCCTTTCCTGCACCAATCATTTGAGCTGCAAAAATATGCTTCAAATATTTAATATGAGCATTGTTACAAAACTGGTAAGAATTACCAGTACATGCTGCACTTTGTTTCAGTTCCGCTTCAGTTCTCTGACTAACGTGTAATCATTCTTTAGCTAATCCATCAGCATAAGAACTTCATGTCACATTTGCTTTCAAGAATCTTGCTTTGCATTTTTGAAAACCAATGATCTTAATTACAACTAAATCATGGCCTTTAGTATCTCATTTTTGTTTGTCTATCTATTCTCATTATTACCACCTCGCCATTGTTTTTTGTTCTTGTTTTTGTTGCGTCACTTTTTGGTCTCCTCTGTTACTGTTCATCAAACATGTCCATGTTTTGTCTGTATGTGTTTATAGGTGTTACAGCAGCAGCAGCAAGAGCGCGAGAAACAACTCGTTCTCCAACGAGAGCAGTTGGCCCAGCAGAAATCCCAACTCGACCAGATACAGTCTTTGCAGCAGCAGCTCCAGCAACAACTACAAGAGCAGAAGCGGCTGAAAACTGCTGCTCAGACCATACAGGTGAGGAATTTGCACAACTTTGATAGATGGTTTTTAACCTTCAAGGTGTATTTACACCAGCCCTGATTAGTCCACACTAATCAAACACTAGTTCCATTGCCTCAAAAGTCTGGTTAATTTGACAAAGTTTCAATACACATGAAACTCTACTGTGGACCAGAAAAGGCAGACTCTTGCCCACCTACAGAGGCTTTGGTTCAGTTGAAGTGAAGTTTAAGTATATTTATGAATGCAAGAGAGACAGAGGCTGCTCCATAACCAGTGTATGGCCATTAGTGTATTGCCTTCTGGTTAAACACAAGCAAAACAAATGCATGACTGTAGCACTAGCAGGAGAAATGGTTAGTGGTCTTTTGCCAAGGGCAATTTAGAAATCTTACAACTGCTAAAATTTGATGCGACTCCATTTTTATTTACATTTTGTGAAGAAGGAAGTTGCAATGATCACTATTCAACAAGTTCGTTTTCAAAAACCTTACAGTCACGGGTGATTGTTGGAAGTTCTAATCAATATACTTTTGTCAACAGCTGGATATGACTGGACAGCCACTGCATCCCTACATAGACTCTCAGATGAGCTCGCGCTCTCTCCCTAACTCTTCCTCAGAGATTTGTTTGAGGAATCAGGATGAACAACTGGAAGCCAGAGCTGGTATGAGGAAACATAGCTCCATGAGCAGGCTGACCCGAGACACTTCTGATGGAGACGGTGTGATTTTCTATGGCTCCCCTCGCAGAATTGTGGATAGTTGTGTACAGACTGATGACGAAGATGGAGAAGAGAGGTAACAATATATTTTTCTTTTTATTTTGAAGTGAGTAATGGAATACCCTCCTTGGCTATGAGTATGTAGGTGGTATGGCATAAGAATGACTGTCACGGGCCTCAGTATCTACAGATTGTTTTCTTCATGCCCTTTTTTGCCTTTTCCCTGCACCAACAGGTACATGATGCGTCATCGTACCAGGAGGCGTGGTCGGAGCGTTGACTGCTCCGTCCAGACAGATGACGATGAGGATAAGGCTGAAATGGAGCATCCAGTTCGCCGTAGACGCTCCCGGTTTTCCCGCCACGCTGAGTCCACGGCAGCTGGCACCAGCACTGCCTCGACAACCACCTCAACTTCAGACACCAAAGCTGACACATCAAAGATAGTTTCCTCCAGCATCGCTGTCCAGACCATCAGGGAGGTGTCCTGTCAGACCGAAGCTGAGCACCTAGGAAGAGTCTCCCCAGCAATCCATGTGACATTACCAGACCCTAATAAAGTAGAGATTGTACACTACATTTCTGGACCAGAGCGAACACAAAAAGGACAATCTCTCGCCTGCCAGACTGACTCAGAAGGGCAGTCGCAGGGTGTTGTAGCTCCTCAGCTAACCGTGCCAACTACAGTCAGTCCATATTCTTCCTCTACCGTTACCGGAACAGGGCCATCCAGTTCGGCTGACCTTCACGCCCAACAGCGCCAGCAGCAACATGTTGCAGCAAATGCAGCAAAATTTGAGCGACGTCGTCCTGACCCATTAGATATTAACTATCAGCCTCACAACCACCTTCACAATGAGTCCATTTCCAGCCTCATTCGGCAGCAACAAACAGCACCAAAATCTCCACAGGTTCTCTACTCTCCTGTATCGCCAGTGTCCCCACACCGCCTCCTGGAGACCTCCCTGTCAAGCGAGAGACTGAACAAGGCTCACGTCACACCTCAGCAGAAGTCTTATACAGCCGAATCCCCCCAGCGACACCCATCTGTGCCCCGACCCATCAAGAGCACCCATAGGTCCATGTCAGACCCCAGGTCCCTCAGCCCAACCACAGACGAGCACACCAAGGCCAGACTGTCCCTGTATCAACAACAAGCACTCCAGAGCCAGGTAAAGTCACTGATGCTGGGCCGATGGTCCAAAAAGCTGTTAACAGTGATGATACCGGTTATAGGAGCTGTATTTATTCTAAGAATTTCATATATAAAAAAATTCCTTCAGATTGTTTATAAACATCAAGATCTTTGCGTACACAAAATCTTTTCAACTACTCCTTATAGTATTCAAAGAACTGGGCTTATCATGTACTGATTTTGAAAGCTGTTACAATAGGGGAATTACAGCTGTGCAAGTCCTCAAAATGTACTTATTGATGAAACTTCTTAACCTTATTTTTTTCTGTTCTTTTGTTGTATGATGTCACTCCAGTTCCCAAAGTTTCAGTTTCAGTTCTCAGGAGCCCCCTTTGGGTCCACTGTAGAAGTAAAGTATATTTATGTATATTTATTTTAAAGGGTATCGTTTTACCCCTGTTGTACTGACTTATTAGAAATTCTTCTGTACTGGGAAAATTGTCAAGTTCTGGGTGTCTTCCATTTATTTTTTGGGTAAGAAGCTGAAATGTTTGGGAACAACTGAAATGGATAAAAGAGTAAAATTTTAACATTTCATAAAATAACTTGTGATTTTCATCACCACATGAGCCTTGTTTCAATTGAAAGTATATTTATTAAGCTGAGCATGTGATTAAAGGATTAGTTTATAGTAAAAATTTCAATTTGTCACAATCTTCTGAGTATGTTTTCTCTAATCTCTTGGGATCCTCTCAAATGTATCTACCATATTAACTTGACACTAATTTTCTTGTTTCTGTACGTCTTCTAACAAACTTCACTCTTGTTTCCTGTTGTCTTTGTCTGTTTGTCTTTATGTGTCTCCTTTGTCGACCTTGGTCTCTTGGTGCATCCTTTCTTTGTTTCCTCTCTTCCTTGATCTTTTTCTCCATTTGGATTTTCCTCCTTTCCTACTTTGTTGAATATTAATTATTTTTTGTGCACATTTCTTTATTCACTTTTTTTTGTCATTCTTCCACCGCTGTCTACACTGGTTGAAAACATTCTTGGATCACTTTTGCTTTGGTGCACACTTTATTTTTACTCTTTTCGGGTTTCTTCTCTTTATTTCTTCCCTGCATCACTTCTCATTTTGTTGTTTTCCCAAAATCATCCCTCTTTGTTTTTGTTCACTTTCTTGTCTGTATTAACACCTTGTTCATCTGTGTCCTTCTTCCTGTATTTTTCTCATTCTTGTACATCCGATATTTTTACTTAATTGGGTAAATCTATTATCTGCAATTTTCCATTTATTCTCCATTTTCCAATTAACCTTCTCAATCTCATATCCCATCAACTGTTCCTTGTGCACCCTATTATTTCCCCCTCAAATGCTCTCCATGTTTTGTTTTGTTTTTGGCCTCCACACATTTTCCCACCCTTCCTTCCCCCTCTGCCCTTTCTTTCTCTCTCTCCAGCTGGCAGCCTTACAGCAAAGCTCTTTGCTTCGGAAGGTTAAGCGAACCCTGCCCAGCCCTCCTCCAGACGAGACTGCTACATCAGCTCACTTGACCATGATGACACCTGCCCAACAACAGATCTACTTGTCCTCTGTGCCCAGCCTCAAGCCCAGCTCAAGGTCTGGCCTGGCTGCTAAAGCCAGCCTCCTCAAAGATCTCACCCACGAGCTGAAGGCCGTGGAGCAAGAGTCTACTAAGCTTAGAAAGCAACAAGCTGAACTGGAGGAGGAAGAGAAAGAAATTGACGCTAAGCTGAGATACCTGGAACTGGGAATTCATCAAAGGAAAGAGACTTTGGTAAAGGAGAGGGAAAGAAGGGACATTGCCTACCTAAGATGTATGGGGGACACCAGAGACTATATGTCTGACAGTGAGTTGAATAACTTGCGTTTAGCAGCTGCTGCTGCATCACATGAGACAAATGGGCTACTAACAACCAGACCAAGCACTGCTCCACTTAGCCAATTTACCAGTGACCTCAACACAGCAGCCCAGTACCCACCAACCTCATCCTTCATCTCTTGTCAATATCCCCAGAGCCAACCACCAGCACCTTCTCAGCAATCAAGTGTGCCATACCAGTCATCCACATTCAACCAGCCTCCTTACCCAACAGTGTCGCAGTCACAGGCCCTGCCACAGCCCATGACCCTTCAGACGCATCCCCCTCCTCCTGGACCTACCTTTCAACCTCAAACATCCTATCCTTCCCACACCTATCCACAAGCTCAACCCCCTTACCCCCAAACTGATTCGGGGTTACCATCTGCACCTCAACCTCAGCCTCCAGCAGGGCCTACAGGTTTTGGACCTGCACCACCTGGTCAGCCACCATACCCCACCCACAGCTCACCTTATCCCAGCGCTGTGTCCCCCTACCCCACCCAGACAACCCCATATTCTGGGCAGCCCCAAGTTGATATTCTTACAGTTCACCCTGGAAGACCCAGACAGACATCACTTGCTGAACTTGAACATAAGATACCAACCAACTATGAGATTATCAGCAACCCGACAGTTGTGGTCACAACCACAGCCCAAGATGCTACCTTTTCCAGTGCAGCGCCAGCCTATGGTCCGTACATAGGAACAACAACAATAGCAAGCTCCTATGGGCCGTATGGATCTGCACCTGTTTCCAGCAGTTATGGTGGTTACTCCACAGTGCCTCCAAGCACTTATGGTCCATATACATCAACCCCAGCTAGTTCATATGGCCAGTACACAACAACTACTGCTAATACATATGGCTACACCACCACCACAGCAAGTTCCTATGGACAGTACACTTCAACAGTTTCCAATGCCTATGGACACCCTGTAGACAGTCCTTCCACCTACAGCACAGCAGAAGGAATGTATGGGGCTCCTGGTTTAGAGCAAAACATTCCAAGAAACTACATGATGATCGATGATGTGAGCGAGCTGACGGCAAAGGACGGGCTGGGCACGACAGCAGGGGATATGATGCATCATGGCAGTAGCGGGCGTTACCCTGGCGACATCCATGGTCATGGCAGCACATCTGGCAGCACGGCGCGTGGGGGACCTGGCAGCTCCCCCTACGGCAGGGCACCTGAGGAGGAAGCAGCGATGCAGGATGAGCTGTACGACCACCACGGCAGGGGTAAGAGCAGCTACAGGCACGGACCTCTAGGGGGCAGCAGCAGCAGCGTGAGCACTAGCATGGGTGGGGGATCCCCCTATTACTATGACTACGACTACAAACTTGCCAGCATCCGCTCCGGGGTACAGAAACCTTTGGCGTCCTCCAGAAGCCTTCTGGCCCCCGCTGTCATGTCCTCCAAGCGCAGCAAGCACAGGAAGCTGGGGACGATGGAGCAGAAAATTTCAAAGTTTTCCCCAATAGAGGAGGCTCGAGATGTCGAGGCAGATTTGGCCTCCTATTCTACAGGTGAGGCTTACCCCTCATCTCACATTCGAGGGCGCCAGCTGATCGAGGATTATGGCTTCAAGAGGAGTGCCTTTGATGGCACCAGTGGCACAACTCATGGAAGTCGACACTATGGTATGATGGTGGATGAGGACGATCGGATTTACTACACCTCAACTGGCCGCTCCCGTTCCCATGGCTATGGCATGGACAAGATCTCAGCCAGAGATTACCATGGCTATCGAAGCAGATCCTATGAGAGAGACGACCGCTCCTACCGTTCTGGCTACAGAGGACGCCATCCAACTCGGCAATACTCTGAGGAGGAGAGCCCACTCAGCCCTTTGGGGAAGTTCATGGGTTCTGGGAGATCTTCGAGCTTAGGTCGTGACCCATATGACAGTCGCAGCAGTAGATATTATTACTATTATGGCAATTATGGCTCCAGTCACTCGCTGCCAGATGTTCAAGACCATATAAGGGACCTTCCCCGGACACATGTCTACAAATCGGATGATACATACATTATTGATGATTATCATTGTGCTGTGTCAGACAGTGAAGGTAATTGTGGGAGCTAAATCCCCACAGTCTCACTACCTACTACTGCTCCCACCGTTTATCTAAACGTCCCCCACCCACCCAGAAGCTAGCTTAGCAAAATAACAAAAAACAAAGGACAGAGATAGTCGTTGCATGTCAGTGTTTTCTTCGTCCTGAGAGTTACTCGGAGCTCTATAAGTCGTGGACTGCTGTCTGTCTGTCTGCCTGCCTGTCCGTCCTTCCGCCTGTCCGTCCAGCCGTTTCTTTGTTCAACAGTGGCATGGTTCTTCAGCGTGGTCGTCTTTGTCTTCACAACACTGACTGACTTAAGAGGTCTTTGCACGACAGCAATAGTTTTTTCTTCAACATGTTGTTGGCTCTGTTGCACTGTTAATGTGTTTCGATATAAGAAGTTTATGTCAACACTGCAAAATTTTGTCTAGACAAAGTTTTCTATATTCCATTTGTCAAAGGGCATTTTATTTAAAAGTGTTCCAAAAAATAAATAAATCAGAACAATACTGACTGTTTGAGGAGAAAAGTTTTAAATGATTCCTTGAGCAGTCAGTAAAGATATGTAGGAAAAAGATCTGCTGTATTAGACGGTTTTGCAGTGTTTAATATGTCCTGTTTAACTTGTCTTGTACTTGTGGAGTAAATCTGTGCATGAGTGTAAAATTTTACTTTCTGCCTTTCTTTCTGTGTCTTCCCCTATCTATCTTTTTTTCTTTTTCTTTTTTGCATGCGGTTGGTCTTCCTTCTGCCCTCTTCCTTCTTACAGCCTGCATGCCGCTCTCTCCAAACGACATGGAGATTGATTGTGATCTGCTCTCGGTTTCCAAAGCCTACCATCTGGGCCAGGAAGAAACTGACTGGTTTGAGAAACCACGGTCCAGTTCTCGACACTACGGCAGCAGCCACTCTGGAAGAAGTCGGCATGGTGTCAAGCACACCTATCATGATTATGATGAACCTCCTGAGGAGGACCTGTGGCCGCAAGATGAGTACAGCCATGGTGGGCGGCATTCATCATCACGTGACCACAGGCACCATGGCACCTCTAGCCGGCACTCTTCCTCCCGTCACTCAGATGAGCCGAGATCCTCGAGGTCATCTAAGGGGCATCCCAAAGACCCGTCTATGCGCCATGACCCCTCAGGACGTTCTTCATCTTCAGGAAGGCGTGGTGAGTCCAGGTCTGGAGGGTATCACTCTTCCGACTACTCCCGGGATCCATCTGGACATCATCACGGCCAAAGATCTTCCAGGCAGGGAGATCCACACAGATCATCTCGCAGCAAATCCCAGGGCCAAGTGGACATGCAGGGTCAACCACCAGGTAAACAAGGTGCACCTGTAAATCCGATAAATGAAATGGAGCACACAAAAGTCGCTAGTTGATGACTGAAATGTAGACATTGCCTGCATCAATGTGTAAATATTTAAACATATTCTTAAAGAATACAAAATTAGCTTGAAAAAAATATTGAAATTGAAGTAAAGTTTTTACCTGATTGTTTGCTTTCTACTAAAGATAAAACTTTGCCAAGATTTTGCCTTAATAGGCAAAGGAAACAGATTAAATCTGTAATAAGAATATTTAAGAACACATTTTGTTGACCATCCTGGATAGATCAACGAGATTGAGGTGAAAGGGAGAAAATTTGCAACTTCAGTAATAAATCTGATGATCGATCTCTAAACATTGATAGGATAGCCTTTGCTGTTGAGATTAATTTTGATGCATTTTTTTATAGTCAACAATCCCCTCAGGGATCAACAATTTTTAATTAACAATATCGAGTGCAACTTTTCAAAGGATACGTTTTCCCTGAAGGCATCATTGATCTTTGCATAAAAACACATTGTTGTCTCACTGCTGCTGCTTCTCTAAAATGCTCCACTTCAAGGAAAAGAAAATGTCAGTAAAACATCAGTGAAAGAAACCCTTGACTTTTACATGGACTTTATTTCAAAAAGGGATAGATAATCCGACACCGTATTTTATTGTTATTTATTTATGCTTTTATGTCCTCTTTGGTAATAAGATGAATCAGATTTTGAATTGCTTTGGTTTAGAAAAAATACATAAAACTTTTCACCTTCAAATAGGCTCATCCAGGTCCGGCAGCAGTACTGGGCGAGCCCAGGGCTCTGCTGGTGGTCCTCTAGGATCCGGGCGACTAGGCGGTCCCGGTTCACAGCCGGATGGGACCCAAGGACAGAGGACTCAGCTCCAACAGCAGGCCCAGACAGCTGCAGCCAGACCAGGACAGCCTGGCACAGCATCGACCACAGGTCTTCAGCAGCAGCCGCCAGCCCAAGGTCAAGGCATGGGCATGGGGATGGGCATGGGGATGGGCATGGGCATGGGCATGGGTCAGGCCCAGGCCAAACCAGGGCAAATGGGACCAGCAGGCATGCCGATGGGGCAGTCTCGACCAACTGGTGCAGCAGGAACCACACCGCCCACCATGGTGAGTAATGGGAACAGAAACAACTCACGTCTGCACGCCATTTTGTGTCTGATTTCCTGTCACCAGTGTTTATTTGACCTGATGGAAACAGTTCCAATCTAAGCTTTCTGAAAATGCAAGAACAGAACTCAAAGCAAGTTATTAAAGCGCAGTGTCTTGGCTCCTGACATATATATCTTAGAGAGTGGACACTTTCCTGAAGCTTCCAGTATTTCAAAATCCTGCATGATCCATTGAGGTTGAAAGTGTAAAACAAACTTCTTTACTCTTTTCAGCCTTCCTGTTCTTATCTGAAAGTCTCAACATGCAATGAACAGTTTCTCTTCAACACTGTTACAGCTACGCTCTTCCCATATTTTTACTTTAAACATAATAAAAAGTACTTACTTATTCACTCAGTCATAGCTTCAACACTGAAAGTTTGTTGGTTTCAGTGGAATCTTTCAAAACTTATAAATACAATCTGAATGGAAAGAAGTAGATTTTTCTGTTTTTGGCTTCTAATTTCTGATATTTGTTTTTGACAAGTGTGTATTGTGTCTGTTTTTTTCCTTATGTAACAAGAGGATTTTTTTCATGCTGTGTCAGTTTCTCCTTTTTGGAAACTGACACAGCATGCTATTTTGCTCAGAGCTTCACTCCTACTCCATAAGTCTGTTTTTACGACCATCTCTCCTGTTTGTTGTCCTCTTATTTCTCCCTGCGCTGCTTTTGATCAGTTTCCTGACAGCCACCAGGTCCCATTTCAGATAGTTTACTGAAATTCGTGTATGCCTCTGCTGGCAGACCTTATCTAACACCCTGATTAACACAGAGAAAGCTGATAACCCAATGCAGCTGATTCACTGTCTGCGAGACGCCCAAGAAATTGGCACTTAAGATTTCTCCCTGCAAAAATCTATTCCTGCATTTACTCCATCAATCCATTTGAAGCTATTTTTCAGAAGGAGTGTCAGACTGTGATCATTACACTTTAAATACACATTCAGAACAGACTGATGACTTTGGTTTTAGTAAGTGTACATATGAATACTGTCTATATTCACGGGATGCCATCAAAAACTACCCAGTTCTCATTTACTGCATCTTCTTCGCACTTTTTCTCTCTCATCCTTAGATGCCAATGTGGGGTGCAGATAATGCCTGAAATCTGTGGGCTAATATTTACTAAAAACTAAACTGAATGCATATTTCTGATTTGTTGATATTTTTGATAGAAAGCAGTCATGTTGGAATTTCACTTCAGAGTTGATGTAAAGGTTTCTTGCGGAAAGTATAACTTCCAAGTTCAAATGAAATGCACTATTAATTAGCACGATAGTTTGATGAGGCACCATTTATATTTTGGAAATTTTTATTTTGTAGTAATTACTAAAATCCAGCCACTTTTTCTACACTTTGTATAAAAGTTCTAGACCCTCATCTATGAAGAAATTATTGCAACAAGACTGACATTTTAAAGGAAATGCTCTGATTTTACTCAATGTTTTATTGCGACGTGTGTAATGTGCCAGCTTGATAGTGAGGGAAGCTGTGCCATGAAACTTACCAAAAAAAATGTGCCCTATAAACAACTATACCGCTTTGAATAGAGAAAAGTGCCAAGTCAAATTACATCTTGGCCACCATTAAAATATAAGTTTTGGCTGTTTCACTGTATCAAAATATGAACAATGCCTCATTCGGCTTTTGTTTGCGAGAACAGATGAATACTGGATCCTCATGATTCCACCTTCAGATTACATAACATGTTTTTCTCTCCCACAGCCCTCTATAATCACAGATTTAGTGCCAAATTAGCCTAAACACAGCAGCGTCTGTCTGTTTTTCTTCTATGCAGACAAAGATCGACACACCTCCGGTAACGGCAATTGGGGCGAAAGCAGCACCTGTCATGGCCTCGAAGGCAGGCCAGCCCCCACTCACAGGAATAGGTGATGCTCAATCACAACACACATACACGTAAAATCCCATCACCCTCGCCACTCACCTGTTGTCCACTATGCATTAATTATGTCATTATAGTTTGATGTGCTACCTAATCTGAGGTAAATCTGAGGATCATCCCTCGGTGTGAAAGCCCAACAGTGTTAGGTTATTACATAATTAGCCACTGAAATAATGATTCATGAAGGTTTTAAGATTTTATCTTTATACTGAACGATTAAGCCGAATGCCTTTCATACATCAATCTCACAACACTATAATAGTGTCTTTCATGCAGCAAATATAGTATGCCCTCCACTTTGAGCAGCATTTACTTCTTCCTACCTGGACTACATTTATTTCTCTGCCCTTTCTCCTCTGTGTCCTTCTACTGCTCAGGCTCCAAAGCAGCTCCGAGACCCGGCGGCATCGGCAGTGCAGCGGCAGGTCAGCCCGGCATGGAGGGAGAAGGAATGTTTTCCAAGATTCTTCCTGGAGGCGCTGCTGAGCAGGCCGGCAAGCTGGGAGAAGGTACGGCAGACTACTGAAACCGCGTCGCAAACAGGACGAGTTTGGGAACTTATTGAGTTGTTATTATGACCGAAATGGGAGTCTTTTAAGAAACACAAAGTTAACTGGATGAACAGAGCTGCCTCAGAGGCTTTCAAATGTCTTTGCCTGATTATTATTTGTTTCACCAAAACGATTCAACAGTGAGGAAACGTTTCTAAGCGTTAGTTGATTTTTTTAAAGCTACATCTCTAAAGAGCTCAATTTTGCAACAGCTTCATCACTGTGACAGGAAAAAAACAATCTGACATAAAAAAAAAAAGCTACTGTCACAATGTGAGCGCAAATACAGAGAAATAAAGTTTTATAAAACATTTCCTCCTTTTCAAATGTCTAATGAGATGAAGGCTGGTCAGTGGAAGGCCTGCTGTTGCCTCTGTACATTTTTCTACGATGTTACATTCTTTTATTATTTATTTATTGACTATTTCCCTATCAGGAAGATGACAGTATGATGCTCTGTCTATGAGTGGCACCAAGAGGTCAGTTATGCCAAAACAAGCCGATGCCAAAGCATCAGATAAGAACAAAGAGTGACGTTGAACACCTACAGCTGCTTGTCTTCAGACTTCACCAACAGTGATTTGACAGAGCTTTAGCAACGTTTAAATTCGCTCTGTGGTTTTCTTGTGGGGGGAATTATATTTGAAAAGTCAGCTTTAACACATTTATCAAGCCTTTTTTTGCTTAATCTTCCTACAGCTATCTCTGGCTTTGGCAAGAAATTCACCTCCTTCTTCTGAGGTGACACAAATAAGGTATGTATGTTTTTTCACATAGAAAATAAGTTCTATAAGATAGGAAATTTAATCTAGTACTCCTTGTTGTTTGTGTTCTACAACGACTTTATTTTACAAGTCCTGTTTTAGAGGCCCTCCAACTTGTACATGAGGTAAAAATTAGGTATTTTGATTCAATGATTCCTGAAAGAAGTGCCAGGAAAATGTTTCTTTAGAGTGCACCGGGTTTAGGAATAACTTTTATGAACCCTTGTTGGATCGCCGCTGTGTGTGCAGTGTGTTGACTCTTGCTGGCCGTGAAGAGGCAGCAGGGGGATGAAAGCAGTTTACCCAGTCTGGATTCGGTCCTCTTCTATTTGTTTCTCTTCCTCACAGTTATTTTCGGCCTTGGCTGCTCTGGTGAGAGATTTAGCACTGACAGTAGGAACTTGTTTCCAAGATGAAATGCCAAACAGACTGTGAGCCATCACGGCAGGTTATTGGCTTTGATGATGAGGGTCGTGAACTTTAGGAATTGCATTTGAGGCTTGTAAAGAATTACAGGTCCTAAAAGTTTTAAGCATTAAAGTCTCAGTATAATAAATGTACACAGACCCGCTTCTCACCGCCAGGCTCGAATAACTGACAGCTTTTAATAAAATCCCTCCGTATCTTTATACACTGCAGAACAATTTTATACTGGTGCAATAGACGCATTAATTGTTGTATATCAATGTGAGACATGAACTCCTAAAATTCAGTTTTTTTAATAATAATGATAATGTGTTTGCAGCATGTCACAAAATGTCACAAAAGAAGTCATGAGACCTCATACAAGAAAAACCTGTGAAGTTCCCCCTGCTTTTGTTTTCCTGAAAAAAGAGAAAGGAAGGAGAGAGAGGATGATGGCTGAGAGGAAAGCAGAGCGTTCTGGTGAGTACTCAGGTTTCACGTGAACATAAAATCTTTTTAAACTTTTAAGTTAGGATTTCCCTGGAACTCTTTCTTTGTTGGTGTTTTTGAATCAACATACTGTATTGTTTATTATTAGATAATGGGATGTATTCAAATCGATTCCTACATTTGCAGCCATGAAAAAAGAGAAAACTTTCGACTGGAGTTTATGTTTTCAAGAAGAGCGAAAACGATCTGGATTTTACCAGGTTCTGAAAGCATTGAAATATAATCTCAAATTTACAAAAATATCCAACAAATTCCACAATGTCACTTGTTGAAAATTTTAAAGTAAATAGCAAACTCTGTAGAAGTTTTCCAATTCTTACACAATCCCACGGGGCAAAGACCTCACACCACCAGTTGTTGAATTCAATCAACGAATGTTAGGCATTTTTCTAACCTTCATTTTATGTGGCGACGATTATTTACAAGTGTAAAAAGTTTAGGTAGAGCCGCCAATCTCCTCAGTGACATTCCAGCAAATTCCTTCAAGGTCCAGATGTGTGACTCTCGAAGAAAGCGCAAAACAACTCTAGAGCATCAACTCTCCCTTGTGTTAAAATTTGTATGCTCTTTTGGTTTAAGCTATATAAAATGTTCTGTTGTCAAATAAAAAATCTTTCACCTGCCAACATCTGCTGAGACATTACATTTGTTCCCATAATCACATCATGCCGCCTACATAATCTGGTTTGTGTTATTATGATAATCTATGATTAGTGTTGATATTGTCTCATCTGATCTATTACAAGTTGCAGGTTGACCCGTCATCCAGTGGACTCTATCAAATTAAAGCCACATTATGTGAGTGATAACAGCTGACTGGAAAATCTCTGAAGAAATTTAACCAAAGCCTAACAAAATGTACCCGTTGGTTTGGACCCAGTGTACTGATGCTAGAAATTAGCATCAATGCTAAGCTTAGCTAAAACATCACAGTGTAGCCCGAGGAGAGTCACCAGCATGTTCACTAACATTCAGTATGTTAAAATGAGTGTATAAGCTACAATTAGCCAATAATGCTAATGTTGGTGTGAATACTTTCAGTAGCATGTGGAGCATCACTGGCATATTGTCTATATTGGAGTTACTCCATTTAGTGTACTAAACATGGTTAATAAGTAAGAGAAATAGCTGATACCTTTTTAAGGTAAAATGCGAATGTTAATGCTAATGTAAATGCTAATGCTCTAACCTGAGAGAACAGGATAATGCAGGCTAATCTTATTGCCCCACCTATGGCAGTGCACTAGTGGGGGGCAGTGAAATGCTAATGTTTGTGCTAATGTTAAATCCACCCATATATCCCCATGTTATGAATCTCTCTCTTGAGTGTAGCACACAGACTGTTTGTTAAACCTCTTCCTGTTTCAGGGTTATAAGTTATGAATCCTCTACATGAGCATTGTTAAAACTATTTGAAGGCACAGAATCAGCCCAGTACAGGTTCATATTCTCAGGTAAGAGAGACTCACCTGATATAAAGTTCATTTTTTGGTACTGGAATTACATTTATTAATTTAATCAAAGTATGTCAAGAATATGTGTGCATGTGCTCCGTCGTAAGTCCAGAGCACACTAGATTTTTTGTTGCTTTTGCCACCACTAGATGATATGCATATAAGATATAACAAACAGCATTATTAAGAGATGCAATGAGTTTATAGTAGTTGTTCCACCATGTTTGTAGTTCTGACATCACAGTAGTTCTAAAGAGCAGCTCAGAGGGAGAAAAAACATCTGTATTTTGAGTGTAACTCACAGTGTTTTGTGTCTGTCAGTCTTTTGTTTTGACTTGAATTTGGCTTGTTTTTTGCTAATTCTGTCGCCACAGTTACTCAAAATGCCAACAAAAGTAATAGCTCCCCTCACTGGATCGAGCCGCACGTTTTGATATATGTGTGTGTGTGAGGGGGCATGCAGCAGTACGGACGGCAGTTATTTTGAGGTGAAGAACAATAGGTGCCTGAAGCAAGTCAGTCACTGCTCTCCCTATGCATTGCTATGGGCAGGCCCCATAATAATAATTTGGCAGTCTAACACTGATTAAAAGTGTTCGATTACACTCAAAGGAAAACGCCACACCACATAGAAACATCAGGAGTCCTGGTGTTCTACAAATAAGATTCATATCCATTCGGTGAGTTTAATTAGTTTTCCAAAGATGCTGAATTCCAGAAGCCAAGTTAAACTTTCTGAGACCCTAATCCTGCTTTGTAATTTAATCCCCAGTTGTGAGTTTGCAGACCTAAAGGGGTGGGAGGGAGACTTTGACTAAAATATGTCTGCCTCTTTTTGCAGCCAAAACAGACTGGAATCCTCTGGATGCTTCATGTCTCAGATCTGAGCACACAAAGGCAGAGAGAACACTCTGATCTCTCTGACAGGCCAGACAGTGAGGTGCTTTTACCTTGGAAACATAAATATCTCACAGGATATTTTAAGCTGCGGAAACCCAAACTTTGTGACCTCGATTCTTTTCTTCCAGTTTTACTTTAAGAGGTAGCTGCTTTAATAACCTACAAGGCCACCCAGTTATTTATTTAGCTAGATTTATATTGTATGATTCGGCTACATCAAAGTACATTTTGCCCATTAGAATATTGTGGATATTTTTTTTCTTCTCATTTTAGAAAGAGAAAGTCATATTGGTCAGAGTGAACAGTTTTGAGTCTTTATTACGTGTAATTGTGATGATAGCTAACAAAAACTTTGTTGTCTCTGTAAAAAATAGTGAAACTTTCATAGAAAACTGATGGTGCCAAACCTCAGTCAGCTAATTAACGAGCAAATGTTTCCTGAGGCTCTAAGTGGGCTCACAGTCTGGCTCAGTAGACGAAATGAGGACAACATCTGATTGTGCAAATGTCCAGAAGACACAAGATTCTTTTTTTTTTTCAAAGTACCTGTATATTAAGATACATACTAAAGTATAAACAGAACAATAAACGAGTTATGTTCCAACACTGGGCTGAAAGACCACTCAGAAAAGAAGAACCATTAATAAAAGAGTATAGAGCAGAGAGTATAATTTTTGCTGCAGGAGGGACTGGTGCAAAAAAAAATAAATAAATAAATGCAATCAAAAGGAACAGACACTATGTGGAAGTATTGACGCAACCTCTCAGAACATCACCATGGAAATTCAAATCAAGAAAATTGATTGGTTTTGCAAAAGTACCATGCCAGTTTGGTTTTAAAGATACTGGCAATTTTGGCATTCAGCAAATCTAAATAATTCTGACCATTTTAACTGAGCTAACATGTGGGAAAGGTTTAATCTGATTTACTGCCAGATCGGGAGGAAGGACGGACAGATATTGCAAAACACATCCAACAATTGCTTGACTGTATTTTATATATATATTTATTTTTACCTATTAGACTGACTGATCCCTAAACAAACATCTCCGCAGGTTTCTTTAATCAGACATAACAGGATGTTCTGTGCTGCAGCTGTAAGAAAAGGCAGCAGAAATGGCTGCGTTGCTCTGCCTTGATAACAGTGGCTTCTGAAGCCTTTGATGCTGCAGTGGATGAAGGGCAGGCCTTGAAGTTCCCGGTTTATTTCACAGTGTGAATCCAGTGTTGCACTGAGCGTGTTTCTGCTCTGTGCAGCCATGCAGCGCTTAACTGCCTCGTGTGGCTGCTGCTCTGGCAGGCTCTCTCTTTTCTCTTTCTCCCTCTCTCTCTGTCTCTTTCTCCCTCTCTCTCTGTCTCTATCTGTCTCTTTCTCCTCTCTCTGTCTCTTTCTCTCTTTCTCCCTCTCTGTCTCTCTCTCTCTTTCTCCCTCTCTCTCTGTCTCTATCTGTCTCTTTCTCCCTCTCTCTCTCTCTTTCTCTCTTTCTCCCTCTCTCTGTCTCTCTCTCTCTCTCTGTCTCTTTCTCCCTCTCTCTCTGTCTCTTTCTCTCTCTCTCTGTCTCTTCCTCCCTCTCTCTCTCATGTAAAAAAAAAATACACGAGGCAGTGCAAAGATGACACACCAATAAAATATGTTTCACAAACTCAAAACAGATCCTGAGGAAGAAGAAAGAAAAAAAAAAGCTCGAACAAATCCTGCTCTCTCTTTCTCTCTCTATTTCTCTCTCTCTCAATCCTCCCACACACTACTCCAGCTTTCAAACATTTTTCTCTTCCTTTCCTCCATTTCTCATATAGACGCTCTCTCTGATAAGATTCCCACTGTATTTTTTTTTTTTTAGATGTTGCCTTGTTCTGCTTAAATACTGTGGTTATTTTCTTCTCTCTAAAAATGATGTTGTCTCTACATACTGTGTCATTTTCTTTCCCTGGCATCATCTTCGTGTTATTTTTGTTTATAATATAGAGAGATTATGTCTTTACGTTAAATCTCCTCCCAGTGTTTTCGTGGAGGATGTTCCTCACAGAAACTAGCTGTGGGTGTTTGCTCCCATTCAGTCAAAAAAGCCTTATGTAGGTTGGCTTCTGATGGCCTGACTCACTGCTCCACTTCAGCCCCAAAGGTGTTTGAAGAAGCTCTGATCAGAGCTCTGCAGATATGATTTCAACAATAAAAATGTTTTCTTTCTTTTCCTTTTTCTTCCCATCCTGGATCCTGTTTGAATACTCGACCCTTCGAATTCAACTCTCTGCCCAGCGAGCCAGTTTTGTTTGTGTGTGTGCGCTTTTTTTTATTTGAACGCGGTTTATGTGCATCGCTGTCCGTGTTCCAGTGCGTGTTATGTATAAGCCCCCCTGGGGTCCTGTGTTCAGCCGAACAGATTAAGTTTGGTGATAGAAAACATGTTTGGAGACACTAAACCTGGGTCACACACAGAGCGGGAAGGAAAAAAATGAGTTCAGTCATTTTGTGGTAAAAGCTCTGATGGGAATCAGGACAGAAAAACTCTTTATTTCCATTTGACTGGTTGTTTTATTAAAACTACAAACTTTCATGTCTTCCACTGGGGCTCAGTGAAATAGAAAAACGAAATTAATACAAGGTAAAGTAGTCCGTGTCAGTCTTTCAAAGATCTCTTCCTAGCAAAACTGTCTGATGATAAATGTACAGTCTTGTTACAATGCAATTGCATCATGGCTTCTGAAGTTATTTATTTATTTATTTTTTCTTAACAGAGCTTAGGATGGAAACGATTGTTTGCTGTTTGACTAAATCCAGGATCAGGTGGCTGGCAACTTGTGCTTTTCTCTTGTGCTGATTACGTAAAAGGTTATGTATGAAGTTTGCATGCAAACAAAACAGCCAAAGTCACAGCAGCGTTAGAAACGACTCCATTTTTCCTCCTGATCCAAGACCTACTTTCAGTCTTCAGTTATGCCACCAAAAGATCAAATGATGCTGAAAATGTTCAATTTTAGAGTTTAAAAACCGCGGTGATACTCGGAGCCTCCGGTTCCATGCAGGGCTCACGTTTTAAAATGTTGTTGCAATGGCTTTCTTTTAGCTTCATGATCAGCTTCAACAATAATATTCTTGCATGAAGATGCTGAGGTTCATCATGAGTATCTAAGGCATTTAGTAATGGCTCTGTGCAGTTTGTTTTTCTTTTTAAAGCCTTGATGGCTGTGGAGCAGCCCTGAAGTCCCAGAGAATACAAGCGATGTTTCTCTCGTGTCGTCTGAAGCGGCACCACAACATGCGTCCTTCACATTATGTCCCCATAAGAGCTTCGTCAGCAGGCTGACAGGCTGGGCTGGGAGTTTCTGTGGCCATGTCTCTTTGCTTACCACAGCCGCTTTCTGCATGTTTTAACATGGAAGTTACGTACCGCTCATGTACATTTATTTATTCCACGTTGCCACAGCATTTTTATTTATTTATTTATTTTTTTTGACTGCAAGTTTTAATCCCAAAGAAACATCAGTTTGAATGGAAGATACCGTAGATGAAAGACTCTGATGAAACAAGCATTAAATGAAGGCAGGTAGTTATGTGCGTTGTTTACAAACGCAACGGGCAGGATTTTATCCAACAGATCATCAGAGCTGCGTCTGCCAAAGACAAGAAAATACGTGACTAACTCAGATGGGAGAGGAAAAAACAAAAAGCAGAAAAATTGGGCTAACTCAGAAGAAATCCACCTTAAATTATAAACTATGTTCACAAAACATGATATAATGCAAACCAAACCTGATTCAACAACTGTGTCAAATCAATGACAGAGGTTTCATATATTTATTTGTATATTGTATGTCTATGTTTAAAATGTGCAGTGCAGTTTTGGACTCATACACCATCTGGTGGACAATTATGTGTACTACATCTCGTGTTTGTGACCAAATTCGTGAGGTAGTGGATTCCTACTGGGAGAGAGGAAGGGACTTCATTCCCAGTCTGGCTATGTATGGAGAAGGAAAAAATAAAATTGAGCATCGGAAACTTTTCCAAAACATACAAATGTAACTTTCCAACAGCAACTTTCTCTAGATGTCCCCTTTTGCCCCATCTGCAAAAATCTCTGAATATTTGTACACAAACGTTTAAAACCCTGGGAAATATCTTAAAATTTGAGTGTATGGGAAATAAGTATTGTATAACCTGAAAGTGCTTGTATAGAGTTTTCTCTGAATGAAAAAGATAAAAAGATAGGGAAAATGTTATCTGATTCCACATATGAGCTGATTTTTTCTTTTTTATTATTTTCGTTGTACATTTCAATTTAGACCCAGTGTATCTTCAATCTGTTGCTGACAAGCACAAAAATGTTTACTCATTTACTCATGACAAAACAGATTACTTGTAGAGGACCTATACAGAGACATTCAATCGTTAAAACGTTTTTGGTCAGTTTGAGGTTTTTTATTCTCCTTTTTCTTCTTTTCAGATCATTTCAAGCCAACAACCAGCTTCAGACGGATTCCCATTGTTATGCAGCTTCTCTCAGAAAATCTGCAGGAGCTACAAACATCTACAGCCCTGCATGAGAACAGAGCAGCTGGGGGCTGAAAGCGAAGGCAGAAGGAACAGCTGTGCGACAGTGATCACCCTCCCTGCCAGTAGGGGGAGCCGTGTCCACACAGAGGTCCTCCCCCAGCCTAACGCTTGGTTTTAAAATATCGGTTGCGTCGACGTGGCGCAATCAACGACCGCATCCTAACTTCCTGTAGAAGATGGTAGCTTGGTTTTCCAGACTTGTATTGGAGGAATACAAGTCACCTCTCTTCTTTTCTATCTTTTTCCAAAGTAAACAATGAGCAATTTTTTTTTTAATTTTAAAAAAGTGAAAACTCAGAGAGGAATTGCAGGTTTTTCTTGTATGAAAGTCGTCTCGTTGGACCACCGAATACTGACGAGGAAATCATCGAAACGTCACCAAGAATGAGCCGGACGATAAAGAAGCGGCGGCCGACGCAGCCCCAACATGTCGCCACGCGTTCATTCTGACCTTTTTTCCACCCTCTGTCGACATTCCAGATGGGGAGCTGTGCCCTTCTTCTTTACTTCTTTTGCGTTTCCTTAAAGCGAGCTCTTCTTTCTTTCCGCACGCCACTGCAACAATTCACAACTTGCCATGTCTCTAAACAAGAGGAGTGCGGATCTCAACTAACAGAAAACATGGGAATGCATGGAACTTCATAACCAAGACCTTACACTGTTTCATCATTATGTAACTGAGGCCATAAAGACATCTGAGCTTAAAGGCGTAAATAATAGCAAAGAAAGGTTAAATAAGCAACACACAAGGATCTGGCCATAGGAAAAGAAGAGTTTTTGATTTATTTTCCTTTTTTTAATTTCTTTTTTTTGTTTATTTTTTATTTATTTTTGTTTTTCTTAAGAAAGCTGTATGTCTAAGAGAGGCAAATGAAACAGTGGGGTTACTTTCTAGCCAATTTAAAGCCATTAAGACAATATTTACAATCAGTTTATGTGGCAAATCTCCAAAATGCTCCACAATTTTGGCTTTTAGTTAATATGCCTTCTTGTGTGCGTGTTTTTTTTCTTCTTCTGTGTCAATTGCCTGTTTTTTATGTTGCAGTTTACCAATATCGCCTTAATTATTTCAAACGTTTCATTTTAAATCAGAAGTGGCATATTTTTATGTCGTCAGGTAAGCTGAGAGGTTAATTTCTATTTTTTTACCTTCACATTGTTTTTCTTTTTTATATAAATATTTTCTTGTGATATGATTTTATTTGTTTTCTAGCGTTTCGTTCAATTGAACCAGGCTCCCCGCCCCTTGACAATTTTCAGACTCTTTGTTCCTACCAATAATTACGAAAGCAATAGAGGAAGAGGTAAGAAAGTGAATAGCACAATTTTGTGTCCTTTTGCAAAAATGTGTTGCCTTCGTTTGTGTGGTTTACCGCCGAAGCTCTGCTTTAGTGTGACTCAAACGCACCACTTGTACTGCTGCCGTATGAACTTGGCAGAGGCGCGGGAGTCCGGTGACCCCCAGACTGCTTTTCTTCAGCTGGAGTCTGAGCTGAGAGCACTGCAGGGCAGCAGAGGCGCAGGGAAGCAGCAAACCTGGACTATTCATCACTCTTCACTGAGGGAAGCAGGAGGGAGTGTTTGCTTTTGTTCTGTTTTTATTTTTTACTTATTGGGGTTCTTCTGGTTCTCCGAGACGGACTCCGTACACGGCTGTATCCGCATGTGTCTTCACTCTGTCAAATGTGAACCTGAAAGCACACTTGGCTTGGTGTCAGTGATCTTACTATAAAAATAACCTGCTGTCATGTGACTGAGGAACCAAAAATAACACACTCGGTTGTGTCACCAAGTCACTCGCCTTTTCTTTCTTTCTTTTTCTTTTTTTTTTAAAAAAGAACAAAAACAAAAAACGGCCTATTTTCTATCGCGGTGGAGTTCAGACGTCTGACCCAACACCCCTTCTCCAAGACAACAGAAACAAACCTTTTCTCTCAAGACTGTCAGTCACCTTGGAAATATTCTCAGGACAGTATTCGCTCTGCTGTTGCTCCTGCAGTGCATTGTGGGGAATCTGCGCTCTGGCCCTCACAACGCGCCCCGACTGGACGAGGCCTCCTTGTCCTCCTCCTTGTCCAAACCACCCAACTTTTGCTGTATATTGTCTTTGTGAACGCTCGCTGGGAACCTTCGCATGCTGCCCGGCGCAGAGGAAAACCTCAAAGTCACCTCTATATTGTTCTGCTCCTGATGTTTGTACGTATGCGTGTGTGTATGTGCGTGTTCGGGGTTCAGTATGCGAGTATTTAAAAAAGAAAAAGGGAAAAAAAAAAAACAATCACCATCTAATGTGGGGAAGAGAACAAGACGGACGCGAGTTCAACCACGACGAGCATCGCAGGCAAAGGAGGCGAAGTCGTTCTATGCAATGAATCCTGTTTGAGAAAAACCCGAGGAGGTGAAGAACAACGTAGAAGGAAGTCACAGTCATTGTTCATCACTCCTCAGTTAGAAACCGTGTCTGCTTCGTTTCCTTTCTGTGAAATTTTGTGATAAAAAAGCAAGTTCCCTTCTCCTTTGATATGAGGAGCTGAAGACACGTTCACAACAACTGGGAAGTTTCACTTGTGACATGGCCAGGAAGCCTTTAGGGCAGCAGTGAAATTGGTGAAAGTATTTCGCTGATCTGAAACGCTGTCTGGTAAACAACAGCTCTATAATATCAATATATCCATCGAGAGTGAAATATCCAAGTTGTCCTGGATGTTGATTTGTTTAGCAGAACTCATCTGGGTCCACAGAAAAGCTTTCTAAAGATTTACACACTTGCCTATGTTATAGGTGTTGGGCTGCTTTGGGCTTCTCCTTTCTGACGGCCAGAAACAGTTTGCTATAATTGTGAAGACAATGCTTCACCAGAGAGCGTCTTGCGCTGATCTTAAAAAAAAAGTCAAATACAGGCGTTTAAGAAACACACAAATAAATATAAATCTATAGATTAGTTTTAAATGAAGTACTGTAAACTGCTGCTGAAGCAGAAGTGCCCTATAAGACGCATCTTTCTGAATAAGACGTATCTTGCATGGTGCAGTGAAGCACCATTCAGAGCATTCCTGATGTGATTATTTTTGGGTAGTAGTGAATTTGGAGGCTCTGTACATTTACTGGAAAGTAAAAGTGCAGTAAAGTAAATGTACAGAGCAAAAATCATCTGCCGGTTCACATAAATGTGTTTGCTTTTTGGTATTATTTAATGATAATTTTTTTTCATGCCATTTAAGGGGATGGGATGTTATGATCCAAACAACCGGATCGCAATAGAGGCATTATAAATGATGTATTTGTATTTGCAGTTTTCATGCTCGCCACACGGCCAGCGACTGCATCCACAATTTGAACATGACAATTACAATTTTAGTTCCAAATACTTATTCATTTGTTTATTTTGAAAATAAATTAAACATGAAGTCCGTATAGGGTGCAGCGAAATTTTAAGAAGTTCAAAACTGATTTTACTGAGGGGCAGCATGAATTTCTCTGTAAGCCTTATTCACATCAACTCCAATCACTTTGAAATACTTTGTTGGCTGAACGATCCAGAATGTCGCTGGTTAGATTATGTAATATGTTTCTTTTATTGCATATACATTCCATAGATTTTAATAAAACAGTGTATAGGGAACAAAAACCCCTGACTGAGACCTCAATTATATATATATAAAAAAGATCCCTCCAAACCTTTTTAGAACTCTTATGTGACTTTCACAAATCACTTATCCATGTAAAAATAGTCTATATATTTTTTTGAAATATTAAAAGCATAATTTATTATATGTAGAAATTTATTTTATCAAATGGAGAGGAGATGCTAAGATAACTGAAATAAAGGCTGAAACAGATCTAGACACAAAAACACTACAAAAAATATCTTATGTAAAGATTGATCTATTGCTTATGTTATTGCACAACAAATATAATCATATAATTATCAAACCATAAATAGAAATTCTGCCTAAACAGAGTTTATTTTATTTAATAAATGATATAGTGGCAAATGTATTTTACCGTTGTTCCAAAAACTTAAACAGCAACACTTTATGCCTTTTGTTGACCTCCAGTAAGTTGGATGTGCGCGATCCAAACAGTTTATTTTACAGATGCACTGCCTCTAGATCAGTGTCTTAAACAAAACCAACAAATATGCTAAAAGTAGAACATATGACAAGTTTGGATTTACCCAATTTAACACCAACTTCCTCAATTTTGTGTCCCATGTGTTTTTTGGAAGTTTGTAAAAGAAAAAAAGAACCAACTACATATATATATACACAAATGAAAACTGACTAAAATGATCCTCAATCACTTCTGCCTCAGGAAAGCACGCGCGCTTAATGCAGCCTTGCAACAGAAGACATTCAGAGGACGCCAGAACACCGTGAGTGTGTGTTCATGCAGGTGCAGGAAATTTATGTGCCTGTGTGTGTGTGTGTGTGTGTGTGTGTGTGTGTGTGTGTGTGTGTGTGAATGACACAGCCACTAGCACACGATTAGTAAAAAGAACTGTGCAGAAATAAGATTATTCCACATCTTATTTATATTTGATGTTTTTTTTTTTTTTTTCTTGTGTCTTAATTTTTGCTCCTGCATGAATACAGCCAATGAAGACGACTTAAATATGCATAGCAGTAAGGGCTTCTATATTACAATACTGGTGACTGAAGAAAGCCATCCTGTTACTGCCCTCCAGCCAGTCATGGAGTCTCTGTCCTCACACTGCATGGTGTCTTTCTGTGTCTAGCAGTGCACTGGACAAATCAGACCACAGTAAACGCATCACAGCCTGTTTTTTTCACCAATGTTTCAACTGTAAAAGTGATTTTAAAAAAAAAACTCAATAAATGTTCCATTTGTCTGCTTTCAAATGGAATAATGGTTTGCAATAGAAAACAAATGTACAGACATGAGCCTGTAGGACGTCTGTGTTTTAAAAGAAAGCTTTGAACTTGATTACTATGACTACCACTGGAAGACTTTATACCTTTGTTTTTACGATTCTTATTTTTAATGCACCGTCGGTTGCTTTTGGGAAATCCAGGCTGTGGGTGTTTGTTGTAAAACCCAAAAGGTAGCATCTTTGTGCTCGCACTGAGCAAAGCCCCCGTGCTCCTCACTGTCGGTCAACGTGTGACAGGATGTGATGCAAGATTTTCAAACAAAACAAATGCGTACATAAATATATATATATATATAAAGTAAATGTTTCATATAGGTGAGAGATTATAAGTAAAGAAGAAGCCATGAGGAAAATTGTCTGTTTGTCATCGTCATTTCATCTTTTATCTATAAAAGTGCATGATGTGGACACCTTCCATGTTCTCCCCCGTAAGCCCAACCACTACCCCAGTCACCTCTCTGACCTTTGACCCCTCCCACCCCCACCTACCATCCTTATTCCAGTGTAAATACCAGATGTGAACCGACCGGAGTCCACTCCAAACATGTAAATGCCATGAGGGACACGTCCTGTACAACATGTAAATCTCAAACAAGTCACCACACACACACACACTCGCAGACACACACACGCAGAAAAACACACACATGCACAAGAGGCGTGAGAGAGAGAGAGATCGAGAGGCCTTTGTACTGCAAACAGCAACCCCAGCTGCAGCGTATGCAAGCCAAGAACTCCCTGCCGAAACTTGTGCTGCTTTTTTTTTTTTCCCTTCTTTTATTTATTTATTTTTTTTGTGTACGAAAACGACAAAAACAAAACCACAAACCGGGGCCGCGATCAGCTGACAAACTGCATTGTGTTTGTACGTGGCTGGCTTGTTATGGACGGTTTAAAAGTCATTATTATATTTAAAAAGAAAAAAAAAAAAATAAAGAAATCATTGTATTCGGATATGGAATTTTAAAAAAAATATTGGTCTGTGTAGAGTTTCTATACATGTTGTGCTTGTTAAACGAGATGACATCTAAAACAGAACAAAAAATATATATATATGAGAAAAATATTTTGACTTCCAAGTTCAGGGTGGATCATGACGTGGTGAAGATTCAGGGGGAAGGTGAACGAAACGATGATCGTCTGGGGGTGAGCGGGGGCGGGGGGGCGACTTTAAAAATAACCCAGCTGATTGAAGAAAAGAGTAAAAACAAAAAAGAGCCTAAAAACGACAACAAAGTGTTCCATTCACTGTTGTAAGTGCAATGAGCTAAACTTCCTGTTTCCCTATTGTAAAACCTTGTGTATGTTTCCGTGTATTCCTCTTGTAAATGGGTGTAGTAGACCTGGTGCATCATGCCATGTAATGTGATGAATGACAAATTATGACCTTACAGTACATTTCAATCAGGAAAATAAATAAAAGACAGATACATAAAACAACAACAAAACATTGTACGTTTTTATTTTTATTCTATGCACCCATAGTTTGTTGATTTCTTAAACGTTGCGAACTCTTGTTTCACTAAGTTAGCTATTCTTTTATTGTGCTTTGACTGCTTTCCTTTCTTCAAGTTGATTTAGAGGGAAATCTGAGAAGAGCAAAAGATTCTTGGATTATTAAGAGGAAAAAAAACAATCTTTTTTGTAGTTTTTCTTAGTTGCTTTGCTGCATTTCACAGATCAGAACTGAGTTTCTCAAAACTACTTCATTCAATGGTTAAGTCATTGCATTAACTGTGCACATCAAAAAAAGCAAGCAGTTTCACATTCCTTTCATCAACTTGCAGCGTTTCTGTATTTATGCAAATTATGTTCCGTTCTCTGCTTTTTCCTTTCAATTGCTTATTTTATTGTCACATACGTCTTTGCATTCAAAGTGCATGCACAGGTTGTCATAATATGCCAGACACATTTCTATGCATTGCCTTTTTTTTTCTTCTTCTTCTTCTTCTAATTCTGTCCTGAATAGGTAAACTGCTCCCAAATGAACCCGAGATGTATTTGAATGCATCATGTCTGACACTTTATACAAACGGCCATATCATCATGACCATTTGAGTGATTTATAATTAAGATAATTACAAATGACTCATACAGACTACAACACTATAGCAATGTCATAACTTACACTTCATTTTATGCCAGTAAAGTCTGAGTCACAGTCAAAAACTGAAATTAGGATTTTATTAGTAGACATTTCTCCCCCCTCCATTCATGAACCACCTGAGCTGTCTGCAGCTTGGGTAAGACCCTCTTTACATTCCCCCCACCTCAAAATAAAACAATTTATTTGTACAATGTTCTCACCAAAAAAAAAAAAAAAAAAAAAAAAACAAAAAAAGAACAAAAATGGTTTAAATACTAAAAAAATAAATCAATTGCACAAAACAATGTTGCCATTTTGCTTGCGATTACATCTGTGCAGCACATGCACACATATATAAACATTGACATGGAGCGGTCAAAGCAACACGAGGCGGTTAAATGGACAGATTAACAGGGTGGCTGGTAGAACCTTAGCGCTCAAACGTCTGGCTGTTACATATGCTGGCCAGCGAATTAAATCATCAGAAGCAAAATTCATTTTTAAAAAAAAGAAACAGATTGGTGACTGTTTACATTCATGTGACCAAAATTTCACCATTTGGTGACAGTGTATCTGTAGTTTGCTTGTTTTTTGTTTGTTTTTTTCCAGAAAGGAATGAAATCTTTAAGTTTAATTCCCCAAACATGTCAAAAACAGAAAGTCAATCAGCCTCCACCAAGCTAGTCAAGCTGACATGTAGCAGCCAGGGTCTGAAGGCTGAAGCATCTTTCTACCACTTTTCTGGCAAAGTTTTAGCAACAATTACCTCCTAAAACCAAAAACTCCATAAATAATAGACAAAAAAAAAAAAAAAGAATTAGACAGAACCAGGCACTCATTACAGTTTTAAAATAAGATGAGCAAAAAAAAAAGAAGTTACGCAGAGGTGAGATTTGACAGCTGTAGTGCCTCTGCAGTTTGTCGCCCCCCCCACCCACATTCAATGAAATATTTGAAATTAAAAGTTAACACCTACAGATGAGTGTGAGCATGTCTAATTTTACCTGTAGGTGTGTGTGTGTGTGTGTGTGTGTGTGTGTGTGTGTGTGTGTGTGTGTGTGTGTGTGAGAGAGAGGGAGGGGCAGGAATGTAGGGCAAACTGTACAACAACAGATGAGACGCGCGCTGTTCGTGTAGCTGTGCAAACGTTGCATAGAGTCGGTGATGAGACATGATTTCAGACAAACACAGACGTGAGGAAACAATAACCAAAATAAACATTACGACGCCTATCAGCCAGCAGATCTCAGCAGCTCAGCCGGGCTCCATAGTGTTAAGTGGCAGCTTTCCAAATTTGCTGCGACAGAAATATGCATATGTATGTCTTTTCATCCCTAAACGTGAGCGTATCAGTCTGACTTAAAAGCTACATATTAAAACGAGTCATTTCGCTGCTTCAACATGTATTATTTCAGCTTGAATGTGCAGGTGGTGGAAAGCGGATTCCAGGGTAAACAAACCCTCGGATGTTAAGAGCTTTTCTGCTAAACGTTTAGCCACCGGAGTTCAGCACATCGCTCAGAGAAGTGTGTGCGACTTTATGGCCTGTGCGGCTTTAATGGAAACGAAAGACTTTCACGCAGCATTATTCTGTGTCTTGGAAGGCTTTAACCCCAGAGCACGCTTCTGACCGGCTGTTAAAGCCAATCAGTTCAGGAGCGTTTAATCCATCTGAGCTTTCATCCTCTTGGTAGGTGTGTTTGTTCTCAGCTGATCCATTTTCGGACGACGAACCCCAAGGCACCGATGGATATGTACACCTGTAGCAGGACAAAATAAAATAAAAAAACTACAATCAACGCACATTTTTTTTTATGTAGCTAATTTTGCTGTTTGTTTTGTAGCTTTTGTTGCTATTTTAATCTTGTGTTGTATTAATGGTGGTTTCGTTTTCAAGATACGGCCGAATGATTTCATTGTTTCCCCCCTTAACTCTTTGTGATGCTTTTTTTTTCTCCATAGAATGACTTAAAAAGTGTTCAACATTTACACGCGCATTCACAAGACCGCTTTGTATGCACCGCTTTACACTTAAGATATTTTTCTGTTTCGGTTGTTTCCCCAGCAAGCCGTGACCAAAGTGTTAAATATGTACATGTAATGTCAAGATCTTCTAAAACAGCTTAGTCATTCAGCATTGAATACGGACGCACAAGTAAGTTGTTAAAGAAGAACAAAAAAAACACACAAAAAAAGCAGATGCTGAAGCTTTTCTCGCTTTTGGACTATTAGTTCATCGAGGTTGCAGTGTAAACACATCAACAATAACCTACAGGCGAAAAGTAAACAAGTATCTTCAAATGTCATTTTCCGGCCCTCTAACAACTGAGTTTGAGTGTGTTTACATTTATATATAGTCTTCTGTTAATGTATAAAAGAAGAAAAAAAACTATTTCAGGGATTACCTTTTGATCCCAATGACTCGCATTTCACCTTGTTGCGTACAAACCGAGCTCTTGAAAGTTTATTTTACTTTTTTATGAACGAGCTGCAAAAGCGATCCTGCATACATCTTCTGGTCAGTAAAACGACTTTAAACAAACACACAACAGAGCTGCAGCTAGAAGCAAAGAGGATCTTCATTTTTGAGCTTGCTTTGGAGTTCTGTGATGCGACTTCGGTGTCATCAGGCGACTCGGTGGGAAACACGAGGCGTTTCAGGGACGTGGGATGCAGACATTGCGTGCTGTAACTAACCGAACCAACAGTTCTTTGAGAGCAGAACGTCCTCTATATTAATCTGTGAGTGTTTCGAGTCTTTCAGAGCGAAAACCTGTCTTCAGTCAAAGGAACATTCACATCCCTGATTTCCTTGTTGACTGGGAGTCCGTTTAAATCCACAAATCCATCGTGAGGTTTGTGACGTCCAAGTTATTGTTTCCACTTATGTACGTTTATCTGTGTATTTATAAGTCACGTATGGCAGCTGAAAGGAAAGAGTCTGATTGCAAAGATGTTAACCATTCAGAGCAGACGTGTGACTCAGTACGTTCCCAGTTCTCTGCTGCTGAGGTTGCCTGGGAAATAAGTGATTGTTCTGTTCTTTACAGCGTCGAGGCAAAGAGACGTTTGATGGTCACTGATTCTCTTCGAGATGTGAAAAGTAATGGCAGCTGTTTGGCTTCTTTCCAAAAGCATCACCCCTAAAGGATGCATTTTTAGCAATTCTCTTTGCATCATGATGGGCCAAAAATGAACACGCAGGTTAAAGATGATGATAGCGGAGAGGAAGAGGAGAAAGATGAAGGCGAGCAGAGTATCAGTATATATCCGGCAGGTTCTGGTAGTTCCTATTGAAGTAGCCGCCACTGTAGATCCACTCCCGGGAACCGGTGTATGGGTTGGGGCCCATCTGGAACCACCTAGAAAAATAAACAAATCCCCCCCAAAAAAACACAAACATTAATGTTGTGCATTTTTAACAGCTTTTTTAAAAGGATTTTCTTCAGCTATTTAACCTTTTTTTAAAATAATTCTAGATATATTATATTCTATATTCTATATGTGATGAATTTCTGCTTCCTATTTGTTGGATCGGTGATATCAAACTGGTGTAATCAAATGGCCACTATTAAGTAAAATATAAAACTGTTGCACACTGAAGTTCACATGCAACTTTAGTGCTCATTACCTTTGTGCTGTAAACAAACATGGAACCATTAGATAACTCATTAAAACAAACACTGGCAGCATTTTTGAGTCCATTATTAAAAATAAATGTTAGAAATTACGTTGAGATCATTTACTGTGAGAGTTGGTGTCAGGGTTAACATATTTAGTGTGAACAATTTGATTAGTTGCAGCTAAACCGTTGAGCGACTAAAGTGCATTGGCGCCCTCTAGCAGTTAAATTAGATATTGCCATTAGCTAGCAGTTCATTTTAGACTCGCTTTAGAAATTAGTTTGCAGCATGTAGCTATTTCTTGAATTTCTCAAGCACATCATTGGTGTAGCCTAAGATTTCATAGCCAATTAGATTAAAACAGTAAATATAAATAAAACTGATAACACCTGGACTGCAACATACAGGTCTGTGGAAAAAGTGTTTAAACCTTTGCACATTTCTCATGGACCTGAAAGACATATTATTGAGTAAAAACAAAGAGTTTTTTAATCTTTTTAGCTCAAAAAAAGCAAAAACAGAAGAGATATGTAAGGAGGCAAACACTTTTCCATCGTAATTAATTGTTTTTAGGTGGAATACGACTGGCCTGGTTTGACATATGTGTGCTGTAGTTGTTTGCTACCTAGTTGTCCACTCCTCCTCGTGCTTGGCTCTCTCCTTCCTGGCAGCTCTCTGTTTTTCTTCCAGTCTCTCCTTCTCTTTGCTCGCCTCGTCTGCATGAGAGCAAAGAAAAACAAAAAGTCTGCTCGGTACCGTGGATGGTTTGAAGTCAGGACATCCACAAACACATAACACCCTTTTATATTTCTTTAAGCTTAGCAGTTGACTATTTTGGATGAATAAAAATAAATAAATAAATGAGGAAAGAACTTTAAATTAAATTACCTATGTTTCCATTCTCCATGGCTCTGATGTCGGGCCTGAAGCGACAGTCGGTGGGGGCCAAAATGGCTGCCATGCCAGGCTCCAGCTCGTTGAGAGCCATCGCAAAGTTTGTGAAGTTGTACATCTGAGGAAAGCAGATGGGTATGACTGCAGTTAGCCAAGCCACAATCATCTACTGTTTGATTAAAATACTTGATTGTTTTTAACTAAGATTTGATTCTGTCCTACTGACCAACTTTCAGGAAGTGTGCAGTACCTATACATATTTATTTATGCTGTTATCTGCAGCTTTATAGCGATACCTTAGCAGAGTGTGCTGGTCTGGACTCTATTCTCCACAACAAAGTGCTTCCTGGTACAACAGACACCGTTTCCTGGATTTCAGGCATGTCGTCTGCTTCGTCATTCTCAGCTTTTTGAAGCTCCTCCTGGAAACGGAGACAACAACTCACTGCAACTTCTGCTGTACAGAACCGACTTCTGCGCTACCGGGTTTCTAAGCTATTGCACCACGTTACAGGAGCGAGCGCGCTAAGAGCAGCACAAGTCTACATAAACCTTCAGATTTACCTGACTGAGGCCACAAAGTGGGCTGAGGGCACCAACAAAAACAAGCTGGACTTAATTGAGCGTTATTGAACAGCATGAACAATGATTATAATGTGGACAAAACAAAAACATCAGCTTCACAGCTCGTCAAATTCACAGCTAGTCTCACATTCTTTTTGCTCTTGTCGCCTTTCTTGTCCGACTTCTTGTAGACCTCGTACTGCTGAGGGTCGATGCTCCACATGCACTCGGTCCACTTCCCATAGATTACGCAGAGCTTCTTTTTACTAAGTGTAAAAGAAGGAAAAGAAAAGGAAGTGAATAAAGGTGTGATGAAAAGAGAAGAAAAAGGAAGGACAGAAACATTTAAAATAAAAGATTTATTTATTTTTAAGTGAAGCTACAAAGAAGGAAAAAGAAACAGAATTAAGAAGATAAAATAAGTAGCAAACTCTTCAGACTATCTTCATACGAAAGCATTCACTAACTTCTTGTCTTGGATGTAGCCCTCTACTTTGTGCAGCTCCTTGCCAAACATTCCACATGGCTTAAAATTCAGCACACACTTCTCCCCGGTGCTGCAGAACAAAAGAGAAGAGAAGGAAGAACGGTCCTTTTAATTACTGAACTGCAAGGCAATAAACAGGCAGAGAATGTGAAGGGAAGCTCTGCATTTCTACAGGTCAGAAATTATTTCACCTGAAGCCTAAATAAAGGTCCAAGCTTAAAGCCTGGTGTTTATAAACAACAGTGGAGGAGTCCTGCAGCTTCTCCATATGAAAGAGATTTTAATATGTTTTAACAAAACTGATAAATTTATTGCCTTTTTTTAGAAAATATATTTCAAGAATTAAATATACATATTCTTAGAAATCCACATTCCTATCCAAGGGAGCAATCTGCATATCATTATTATAAAACTAGATTTTTTTTCTTTTTAGTTATTCAAACCTGGAAAGAATTAAAAGCAAGCGCTATACGTTTTAAGGATCCAGGCTCTTTACCAGCGAGTGCAACAGCAAACAGTGTGAGAGCTTCACAGCCTGTGGTGTGAATCAGTGCGAGTGTGTGAACAGGACACACGACCAGGCATAAACAAAGATAACCAGAGCCCTGAAGAGCTTCCCTGGACAAATACAGACCGAAGCAGGTGGTTGTTTGCCTGAGAGAGCACAGTTTCAAATATCTGAGCAAACAAAAACCGAGCTTCAGTTTGTCTCTGTTGGTGGAGTTCAACTCGTGGATATTTATAGTTCCAAGCCGGGGAGCGAATCTGAGTCACAGCAGCCTGCTGGTTCTGTGAACTGAACCTTTTCCATGAAAGTTTCCTGCACATTTTTAATTTCATGCGTTTTTCAGATGTAAATGTTTAGGATCTTAGAACATTCTGGACATTTTAATAAAAAAATGTCAAAACTTAAAAGTAGAAACCACAAAACATACAGCACAATGCAATGGTTTTTAATTTCAAAAGTAAGGTAAAGGGCTATTTCACATTCATTTTGGTGTATGGATTAATATGGATTGGCTCTATATGAAAATCTCTAACTCTTGTCCTGGAATACCGAATAAAGGTACTTAAATGTTTGTAAACATTTGGGCCATTTTGATGCGCCGAAGTTCAATCCGACTTAGTAGTTACAAAAGACTGGCAGGTAAAAAGCTAGAATAAAGGTATGTGATGTAATTGTCAACTGATTTTTTTAAGCATAATTTTGATTTGTATCCTCTTGGAAAGCTACTGTTATTTTTTCCAAACTTATTCAGCCCAGAAAAATGAAAACAACTAATTCTCCATAATTTGTAGAAACTCTGATGTATCAGCAACATTGTTTTCTTTACTACAATGTAGGTTTGAAAGAAAAAAGGAAAATGCAACACACATGTTGCTCACACACCTGTGATTGACTATTTCCACTGTTCCGTATTGCTCTATCCACAGCTTGCCCAGGATGATGTTATGCACGCAGCAGAAAGGATTACTCCATGTGTACACTTCGTTGTGCCTGAAAAGAAGAAGGGAAGAAATAAAGAGTGGAAAATGTGATGAACAAATTATTGTATAGCATTTTCTTTTTTTCTGGGACCATAAAAGTCTCACTTTAGAAGTTCTAGTGTGATTGTTCCTTTTGGCTCTGCCTCGACACTCTTCCCCCAGAACTTGAGTTTGGGATAGATGGAGCCGTGGAAGACGAAGTCCCCGGAGAGGCTCTCTGCGTGGAAGGCACTGACCGGAGGATGATGGGAAACCTGCTCTGACACCAGCCGGAAACCCTGATCCTCTCTGCAGAAGAACACGGCAATAGGGTAAGCGTAACTGCTGTTGAGCTTTAAAGACGGTCAGGTGGGTCGCTGTGTGTGTGTGTACCTGATGAGTTCAAAGGTCTCTCCCAGCAGCGGGTTGAAGGGTTTTCCAGTTCTGTCCCACTGAGACGCAACTGCTGATACAGCAAAAGCAGCTACTGACTGAAACGAAGAAGCGCAGACAATTATAGGATTCAGGTAAGACGAGTAAGGTGAAGACTTTGCTTTTACATTTCTACTTTAGAAAAACACTTGGCAAAAGATATTTAGTGACGCCGGATCCTAAAACAAATGCGCAGGCTTTCTGGTGAAATGTACATTTAGTTACTAAGACAGAAATGTTCAAAACAAAAGACCAACTACTGACTCAATGTGCAGAGCAAAACAAAGTTTATGCAGACGATAAAAGAGGTTTGCTCTGACCTGCATGCGCTCTATGGAGTCGGACAGCGAGCAGGCTTTGTTGATGAGGTAAGTGTGTTCCATGTATTCTGAGATCCTCTGCAGGAAGCTCAGAGGCTCGTTGAAGACGATGGGCATCGTGATCTTGGACAGCTCCTGTAAAACGAGCAAACAGCACATCATTTCACAGCAGATATCAGGATATAATGTGGGATATCTGAGTTTTTAGAAGCTTTCTTGTTTCACTGTCTTGGTGTAAAAAAAAAGAAAAGGTTACTCTGAGTATCTATGTTCCTGTCCACAGTGACAGTAACTTCTTGTGGACATCTATCATATTGTTTTCTCAGTTCTTGTGATAAATGTCTTACTTTGATAAGAATTCTGATTTATCGTTGATTGTTGATGTTTTGAACGCCCCAAAATTGTTTGTATAGTCAGGATTGTTAGTTCTACTGTTTGCTCAATGAAAAGTGTCATTATCTTGTCAATAATTCTGCTAATTGTACTAGCATCTACACAAGCAGCAGGTGTTTGCACACACACCGATCTGCTCTACATGTCTGTTAGTTACATGTATCCATCTGCAGGCTGAGCAGCAGGAGCAGAAAGTGTTTCTGTCACTGCGCTAAGCCGTCTCTGTGTGCCGAATGTCCAACCTGCTGTGTTTGCTGCCGGTACTTTCTCCCAGGGTTACACGCTCACAGATTTGGTGTTTTTTAAGCAATTGAGGAATAATTTAACGTTAAAGCTGACAAAACTGGACCGGAGCAGATGCCGAAAGTGGGAGTCTCGACTGTGAATCCCGATTTGAATCAGAGGCGATGAATGCATGCCATTGCAAACGACTTCTGGAAGATAAGTGCACTGAGCTCTGTGCAGCTTACCTCGTTAACTTGATATGACATACTATTGTCTTTTCTGAGATGTGTTCCGCTTGTGGCAACATTGCAAAAACTGTAGCAGAAAAAGAATGACATGGTGTTTTTCTATATGTGAGGCACAGTGGTGGCACAATCAGGCTTGAGGTCTGTTTTGCTGCCATTGTGACTGGTGCTGTACACACAAAGTGGACAGGATGATGAACCTCCATATTCTTCAATATCAGCACAAATCAAAAGTTAGGTGGCGGAAACTTGGGTGTTCAAACAGGACAAACGTCTAGAACTGGTTTAGGAACAGATAAAGCATGGCAACATTAAATTTTAACAATGGCCATACCTAAAAAATCAAAGAGGACAGCAGAAAATAGACTGATGGAACCGAACACTACTTTTCTGACAGGCAGAGGTCAAATATCTGAACAGATTTAAACCAAATCCTTCTATCTGATTAATGACAATAGGGAGTGTGCATATATTCCACCTGTGTGCATAACATCGACCCAACATGAATTAGAGGGCAGAAAAGAAATCAAATCCGTGCACAAAGTTCTTGATGAAAATATATAATTACAGAAAATACAAATATTGTATTGTTAGTGATGAGTCCACCTTTAAAAAACCAGTACCATGATCCCTCATTTAGCTTTTTAAATTACTTTTTTTTTTCAATTTTTTTCAGACAATACTAAAATAATATTAATAATAATGCATCCACATAGTTTATTACCTGTGAAGAAGTTCATTTTAATTCATTTAAAACTAAAGCTCACAGTGAGTCAAAGGTGTATTTTCCTTCTAGCAATCCAACAAACTACGCCTTACCAGTCCAATACATTTCTTGAGGATACTCCAGATGCTGACCGTGTTTCTGGAAAACATGGGTGCTGGTAAAGATGTCCTGGGGTGAGAAAAAAAGAAGGGAAAAGAAAGACGGGTGCAGGTAAGAGAATGATGATATCTTTCAAGTTTATCAGCAGACATGCAGACATTCCTCGGCAGAACCGAGGGAGAAAATTATTAACTCAGAAACAAACACGCGAATTCACAGGAAGATGACCTGTGACTCTTTCTTGAAGTGTTAGTTTTCTACTCTGCATCACGTCACCAAAACAAATGGTAGTTAATGTACAGCATTTCCCAAAACCTGGTGTGTGATTCAGCCCATAATGCCTCATCTCTGCTTTTTTTGTCCTTTAAGCAACACCTCAAAGGAAAAGCTGCCTGACAGGTTTCATGTAAAAATACAAAGTGAGTTCAAACTAAATTAAAACAACAACAACAACAAAAACTAATTAAAGAAAACTGATGTTTTCAATCCTGATTCTGGTTTCAGAAAGAGCGTTGTTGCAGCTCCTGAAGTGAGGATAATCCAGACAGATTAGAACACTGACCAGAGAGGGTGGAATGTGGTGCAGGAATGAAGCTGTACCTGTGCTTCCTGATGCCGTTCTCTTGTAGTACTGATCCATTGTTCTTCTGAATTCTGCCATCGAACCCTCTGGCATCTTTGAAACTGGCCTCAGACAACCCTTCACACGACTCGTCAGAATCCAGGCCTGCCCAAAGCGAGAATTAACCCAATTTAGACAGCACACAGCATCAGGTATCACACAAAGTCAATATTCTGTGCATCCATGAAAAAAAAAAAAAACTAGTCCAGTGTTTGCATTAAAACATTTACAAATATCTGCTACCTTACCACCAGCTGTGGTCTTTTGTTTTCTTTGTAAAACTGGATCTTTATGTTAATGCACATCAATGTCCAAACTGCTTTGCATCACAAACTGTTGCTCAAGATTTGAATATCAAATTTTATTCATCACACAATTCAATTCTTCAGAAGACATCAGTGGCCATTTCCAGAAGGCAACTTTTCTGTTTTATACTCATAATTTTAAAGCAAAATGAAAATTTAAACTATAAAAATCTTAAACACATAACTGCTATGGCGAATGCTATACAGAATGCTGCTGTAATCACCAGACTACTGTATTTCTTAAAATATGCAGCAGGGTGGAGTTCAGAACAAGGCGAGGCCTTTACTTTAAATACACAAAGGAGTTTCAGCTTTTGTATTATATCAAAAGGTACAAGGTGTGGACCCTATAATTACCATGTTAGACACACAGAGGTCAATTAAAAAAAATAAAAAAATTGATTACTTGTCATAAAAATAGAACAGGTGGTGTTTTTGGGAACGGAACAAGATCTTCCAGTATATATATATATATATATATATATATATATATATATATATATATATATATATATATATATATATATATATATATATATATATATATATATATATATAATTGACAGTTAAAAAAAAAGACAGACTAGATTTTGTTTCGTCCAGTCCATTGAAATAATAGATGACAAAAAAGTCTGGGACAACCTCTGGTCTCGACTCTGCAGCAAACGGCCTTTCAATGTTTTATGATAGGATTTCCATCCATGTTTATCTAAATCTCTTTGGAAACGCACTGAATGATTATCAAACACCTGGTTTTTACACTTCTTAGTGTGTTTGGCATGCACCCAAATTTGAATGTTGACTTCGAGGACTGTTACGTGATCTTCTTTGTTTATCCATTTAGTCGGGGTTTTTTCCCTTTTCAAAGAAAGTGAAATTCACCTCAATCCTATTCAGTGACGTTTGGGTTTGTTTTTGGTAAAAGTGATCATGAACCACAAGACGACCTCCCTCTGAATTATTGAACTCATGTTGAGGCTGAAACAAATTGGATAACAGTGAATAGTTTTATCCTTTAATAACAGAGGCAGCTTGAATTACCGCCTCAGGATTGGATGCTCACGGACATTTTCCTCTGCAGTTTCTATTTCTCATCTTTTTTCTTTCTCCAGGGAGAGAACAGTGTAAAATATCAGTTACAAGGCAAAAAAAAAAAAAAATCCCAGCAACTTTATAACCCTCTTGCAGTCCGAAAATTCGCCATGTGCAGATTTATTGGAGACGGCTTGACAACAGAGGACGACCACCAAGCAAATACAGCTATTGGACCCCGAGAGCTCTTTTACTTTGTGCACTGTCCGGAGGGGTCACACTGACTCCACACGTGTGTTTAAGAGTTGTTTTTTTTTGTGTGTGTGGGTTCAGGACCTGGCATTCTGATGGGACGGGCCACCTCTGCTTCCCCGCTGTCTGACCGTGACATCTGCCGCACTCTTGAGCATCATGCCAAGACCCTGGGAGGGTAATGCTTTCTTTTTATTCTAAAGACTATGAGATTCAACCATAATACGAGCTACGCTCATGGATGGAAATGAGTGTCAGGGGCAATTTGTGACAGGAGTACAGCTTTGAGCATGAGGATTTACAAGATAGTAAGAGTTTCATTAATGTCTGGCATACAACATCACAAAGTCCGTGATTGGACAGGGATGTGGTGGAGCCGAAATCTAAAGACAAGATCAGATTAGATACGAGCATATCAGAAGGACAGCTCAAGTTGAGGGATTTGGAGACAAAATTAGAGGGGCCAGGCAAGGCTGAGACCCTGAGGCATGTTTAGTCACTTGATAACACAGCGCTCTGACAACAGTAAAGCAGCTAATGGCTGCCAGCATGCCATCTGATGTTAGAGTGATGCAGCTCCAATGGGTTAAAATCTGCGCCATTGCTGAGCTTTTTGAAGTCCCACATTATTTAGCCAACGGTTCTCTTTTTCTCTGTTAAGGTGCACATTTAAGCTAATCAAGAGATTACTATAAATCTACCTCCAAAGTTGGTGCCATTCCAGATGCATTTTAATGTCAAGTCTGAATGCAATTACTTTATTTGTTCATACCTGAATGTGTCAGGATGCATCATAATCCAAATCTGAAAAGAGCCTGAGATGATTTGGACATGAGCAAAGGAGAGACAGTGAACATATCGAAGAAAGAAAGCTGGATAAGGGACTACTAGGGAGACGGATAAAAGGAAGACCACAGAAGATTTATGGATGTAGAGAAAGAGCATATGCAGATGACTGTTGAAACTGAGGATGCTAGAGACAGAGTGAGACGATGGGAAATTGTTTGCTTTAGAAACTTCTAAAAGAGAGCAGCTCAAAGAAGAATAAGTTTTGAAGACTGTGCAAGGCAAACACGTAAAAAGACCAAGAGAGTAAAAAGATCTCCCCACCTGTGACGGCGTCGTAAAACTCGTCTTCATTGCTCATCTTCTACACACAAAGTTGAGCAGTTTTTTTTTTTTTCAGTAGATTTTAGTTTTTAGCACATATTCCTTTTGGTAGCGAACCAACAGCACATCTGTAGGGACAGCAGCAGAAGATGTGTCCTCCGGAACGTCACCAGGGCCAAAGGAAAATGCAAGATGTCGAGACGGGGGCCCCAAAATTTGCCACGTGCAGATTTATTGGAGATGGCTTGACAAGAGAGGACGACCACCGGGCAAATACAGTTCCTTCAAATAATGAACAGCAGGTTGATGGCTCTGACTTCAGAGCTTAGCTTCTTTGGCTTTGTCCACCAAGAAAAATTATTAACCTGGAAGAAACAAAGAATTGTTAAACTGATGGAATCAGAGAAAGACTGTAAAAGTCTAAGTAAAATAAAGGAAACTTTCAAAACTCTAGCACAAAGTTGTGCTGCCTTATGGAAGGTGAATCATTAATCCTTGCACTGCACACACTGCACCACATTTTACAATGAAAGAGCTGAATTCCTAGAGACGTGATCTTTACTGCATGCCTGCTGTAATCTACATGCCTCATCTTACTACACACAACCCAAACTGACAGGTAACATTTCCATCACAACGACAGTCCACAATGCAAATACAAGTGTTTGACTGGAAGCAGGCGAAAAACATATCGGTAGCTTGTCTGAAATATAATAGCAGTATTATTTAGGTTTAAGGTTAAATCAGCAATAACGACGGCATCCTTTACATTCACTCCATTTGTTCCACTAAATACAGGGATTTTACCTTTCTCAGAAACCAGCAACGCCTTCAGCACACTACTGAACTTTGGCCTCAGCGACCACGATCGATAAGGTGGACAGAGCGGATCCCAGTGTCCCGTCCAAATATTCTAAAAGCTTATCATTGAGTCATCAGCAGACTTTTTAGCAGCTGTGATGCAGTGAAGACGATGAAGTGTGATAAACTGACAGATTCATTAAGGTGAGAATCAATTAAGATAGAAACTGTGAAAAAAGGAATGTATGCAGAAGACACGCTTTATTTCTGAAAAACAAAGGCTTAAATATTCCCAAGTTTACATCAGCAAAATCTTAGTTTTGCCCTTGAGCGATGAGATCAAACACTGAAAAAAATATTTGTTTCCCTTCATTTTTTAAACATCTGAAAATTAAAACTGCCTCTATTTCTACTCTGTAAAAGCATAAGTCAGGAGCATATGTGTGTTTTATGCACTTTGAGTTTAATAAAAATAGTTTCTGTTTTCAAAACAACCTGAGTTATTTCTCTGTATTGCCTGATTTTACTAAGAAAATAAAGCTGGGTTGATTAAAATTGCCAGGTCAAACCTAAAAAAAAAAAAAAAAAAAAAACAGAAATGGGCCAGAAGAAATTGAAAGTTGTAAGTCAGTTAAGCTTTTTATAAAGCACTTTTTACAGACAAAATCACAAAGAACTGTACAATAACACAAGCAATGTGTTGCCAATCTTGATGAACTGGTTGATCTTTAGTTTTAAAGTAATGACACAAAATAGTTCTCACACTAAAATTACATCGAGACCACAAAACTAAACATTTCAACAAATAGTGTCAAGCTCTTTCTCCTAGTACGACTAATAAAGCAGTGAATAGTTAATCATACATATTTTCTTCGGTATTTCCTGGACTGCTGTCTTTTGAAGGTTTTACTAGAAACATTTCAACAATATCTAGTCTGTAAAAAAGTCATTCAAATTAAAGGTCAGTAGATCAGTAACTATGAAAAACAAAATCTATGTTTGTGCCTTTTTGTAGGACGTATCATTTCATTAATTTACCCCAGGCTCACATGTTGCTATTCCTTTTTCACGTTGCATTACTAGCTCATTTCTAGAGGCTGAGTTATATAAGATGGCAAGAAAACTTTTTAAGTTATGAGAAAACTATGCTTACAAGAGAGAAAGTGAGCATTAAAATCAATTATTTACACATTACCTTCAGCTAAAAAATATATGCAAGCACAGTTAAGGTGGCACAGCTTCCACTAACTTCAATAGATTTATTTATTCAGCCAGGAACTGCAGTTGTCAGTTTCTGAGAATAAATCTGAGATAAATGATTAATCTTGAAGTTAAGTGATTAATAAATGCAGTTGTTATCATGAAACTTAATCATGTCAGAACACAATGTTTTTTGTGATTGTAGATGAAGATTAAATCCTTGCGATTGTAAATAATGTCAAGTCAACTTCTTATCAAATTTTATTAGAGCAAGGTAACCCTGTTTTGTTCCAAGTTGCAGCAAATAGGTCTTCCATAAATGTGCTGATAAGTTTAGTAGGTTCACACACCCACTGACAGATAGGATGTGGAGACAAGCTATCTGATTGGCCGGAGCAGTCCCTCAGATCATATCGGTCACTCTCTCTCGGATGTCTGTGAGTCGTTACGCAACCGTGACAGACATGGCACCATGCACACATCACAATTACGCTTCCAATCTTGGACAAAAGCTTATCAAATGACCCAAATACTTCACACTAGAACACTGCAGACCGAGAGACACGCATTTCTAGCTAAATTTCTAGGCTTAAAAATTGAAAGAACAAGTACTGGAACTAACTCCAAAGATTTCCTTGTAATACACAGAAGTGCAAAAGTCCTCTTCTGGCCAGCTGACAACTCTCTTATGCTTTCTTTGCAACGTAAAATAAACAAAATTACTCAAATATGACCTTACATTAAGCAGTTTATCAATGTGTAGCTTCAAAATCTTGGTATACCTTCCCCTCATGGCCACTTGAACACAGTATAACACAGAGTTAGTGCTCACAAGAAAAACATCTACTTACTGACCTCCTGATCGCTTCCTCAGCCAACTGATTGCAAGGAGAGTCCAAGTGATGCCTTCACAGTCCAACACAAAGCCTGGCACTAAACACACCTCTGCATGTCTGGCTACACTTGACACACCTTTGTAAGCTGTGAGACACGTACGGCGGGTGGTATGCACAGACACACTCAAGGAAAAATGAAGGCATACAATAAAATGAACACTCAAACTAAATAGCAAACATAAACAAACCAAATGTGGGTTTACATCAAATGTTTTGTCACATGATGCTGAGCAACTACGTTATGGAGCTTCTGAGGAAACCATCCAGCTGGACAGCAGCTTCCTTTCCCATGTTGTCATTCAATGGCCATGACAACCCAATAAGGACGGGTGTGTTGAGCTTACATCACACGAGCCTCGAGAATGCAATGGCTATTGTACAATGTTTACATCAGACTGCAACAAAGCTGGGTGTCATGTGAGCAGTCAAGGGCTGGTTACCAGCACCAAGGCAGACATGGTCTGAAAAAGTTCAAACTGCAAAATCTACCGTTTAAAGTGGCAGGAGAGGTCAAAGGGTTATCTAGCTGTATGGAGAAAACCCCAAACATGTCCAGATTTGACACTACAAATCACAAAGATGGTACAAAGATGGTGTAATGGGTTTCCATTACAAATGTGCACAAAACTTTTTTGATATTCTAACGTAAATAAAATTCTTTGCATGATAAGTCCATGGATACACTTTGATGAAATATATTTATATTTTGACCACAGAACTAGCGCTCGTCATCAGCCATCAGAGGAGACGTTGGTGGCTTTATTCAGGTGTTGGGGTGACAAACTTTGCAATACATCAATAATTAAAACTGAAAACCCACCTCATCCTAATACAAAAACTTTTTATCCAAAAATGTTGGAGTTTTTTAGGCAGATTTATTTCTGTAATTCCAATTTTCACAGATTTATGGTCAGTGGAAATGCAGCTACAGAAAGGTGGGAGGAAGCTGATCCAGTCACTGGAGAATCACAAGAGAAAACAAGTGTTTCAAAGAGGAGAATAAATTATTGCCTGGAGGTTTTCAAGAACCTGGTGTCAAATCCCTCACTGCTAAAGGGTTTGGCTTTAAGAGCCATCAACAGGGTTGGGATGGAAAGAAAAGGGTTTGACTGTGAAATCTGTGAAAAGGGATTGTCAGTGCAGCCTGAGAAGTGGGAGATGCACACAGTTCTGAAAAGAGTCTAAACAGAAAAGCATTAATTTGGGCAGAAATTGTAAAAAGAAAAAAAAAACTCAGCTACCGAGTTGGGAGGACAGTTGCTGTGGAAATAGAGGAGTTCCTTGTTGTTCAAGTATCTCGTCACTGAGGAAGTAGTTCAACATCAGGTTTTTGAACTACTGAAATAAGAGAAGTGTTTATAAATCAAGAATTTAATTGCCTGTTTGCTTCCCATTGTTTCTAAACTAAATATTAGTCTTGAACCGATGACGTAAAGTTATATTAAAGCAGCATTTCAAGTGTTAAATCGTTATTTATCCAAACTAGAAAGCATTAGTACAAGGAAGCACTCTGCAGCTGGTAACAGAACTAACAAGCTTTTTTTTTGTTTTCCTACCAAGAGCTTAAAAGTATGCACACTCATGTTACAAATCATGACACATCCGCTCAACGTGTACTTACAGTGAACATCAAGTACTTTTCCACACTATCAAACAATGTGTTCAGAACATTGTTGTTGCAATGAGACACTTAAGGAAGATGAATTTATCACAAGACTGAATAAGTTTAAACGTCAAATGACTTCTTAATAGAACAACCGCAAGTATAAAATCAAATTCATCCGACCTCAATCACAAGACTAACCCGGTCAAGAACATTCACTTGACAGCAGCTGCTGAGGTTAGTCTACATTTGCTCTGAATATGAGCACAAAAAGCTGCTTTTATCCTAAAATATTATTGAGATCCATTTATAAACACAAATTTAGAAGTCCCTGTCAATTTGGCTTCAATCAAGTTCAGTGTCATTTTTGTAATGCGATTATCTTTACAAAACATAAAGCAAGAAATTAGATAAGTGTGAGTTTGTCGCTGTTTTGTCAAATGTTCCTACAAAATAAATGTTATATATAAATATATAAATTTGTGTAATAAATACAATCTTTTAAAGATGAAAGTTATTTTAAAAATTTGGGAGTGTGGAAAGAAAAAGATGCACAGCTTACCAAATGTAGATCAGATGGAGAGAAGCGGCTAAAGAGAATGTTATGTCCTAAAATGTAATTTGTGATTATTTCCATCCACCTTCCTCATCTCTGTTCTGTTTGTTAGAGCCATGGAAACAAAAAAGATAAAATGTTTAGTATGGCTACATATTCAAATTGCAAACAAACTGAAAGCCAACTATGCCAATAAACCCTCCCACATGCATTTCTTCCAGGAGAGTTTTATAGTGTGTTTCACTGGGGCTGAGAAATGGTTACACTGCATCATTCTTGAAAGGCTGGAAAAACATCAATGTTCTGAAAAAACAGCTGCCAAAGTTGAATGACCAATAGCACAGGAGGTTGGTTGCAAACAAAGAATACGCCCTTTTTTTTGCATATTAGTTAGCACAGTGTTCTCCAAAAGTACAATAAATTGCTTTTTAACCATTTCCAGAATAAAATATTTACACGCTTTTCAATTTCTCTAAATCATGTGTTGAGATCTTTTAGCACCCTTCATGTACTCGGAGAAGTTTTGTTTGGGTGATTACTTGATTCTGCGGGTCTGGTTGTAATCAGGCCTGAGAGTGGCAAGTAAAATCAAAACAACAACAAAATACAATTTAACAAGGCTGGAAGATGTTGTGGCTACATTTTCACAAAGAGCAAGATTGATCAGGATTGCCATTTTCCCTTAAGAAATTAAATTATCTATTGAAATCTTAATTTTGTCTTTTCTCAAGTAATATTTGCCAAATAACGAGGAAAAAACATATGGAACCTGTTAGTGGAGAAAGCACTGTACGCCCGGGCTGGTAACAGTAAAATGTATGGGTTGTTCATTAATACCTAGATAATCATTACACACTAATTCAGTATGTGCTGGGATTAGAACAGCTTAATTAATCCTCTGTTGCTCTACAAAAAAAACTATCAACTTCTCATGATACTCTACTAGACCTTTCTCTCACAAATCCTCACATACTAAACTTGGCAATCGGTGTAGCATGACTCAGCACATTCCAGCGATACCTGTCAGAGTAGAAACCCTTCTAGGATGAGCACTACTTTCAAAACCACAAGACACTGAACTGCCTCAGGCCTTGAGATCTAAACGTGTCGACTCTATACCAAACAAGTCAATAATTTTGAGACTAAAACACAGAAAGCTTCTGGTCATCACTGTTGGAAATCATGCTGGAGCTGTTGGAGAAGAAAATCACTTTTGTTTTCCCTCCCTGAGTTATAAATGCTGGGATTGAGTTTTATCCACAGGTTTGCTGTGTGCAAAGCTTTACTGCCTTTACTGTGTTTTCATTGGTGTGCAGCTTTGTTCACAAATATTTTACAAGGTTATACTAGTTTGACTAACTGTATGTTTACTGTTGCTTTAAAAAAAATCAGTAAACAAAAGACAGCATGAAATGAATCATGAATCAGCATAAAGCCAATCTCCACTATCACTTACATGACCAAAAACACATTGTGACCCACTAACCCAAGAGTATTGTTCATATGGAGAACAATCTGCATTACCAAACAAAACTTTGCAAATGAATTTTTTTAAATTACTGGATTCTAGATTCAAATGAATTCAAAGCAACTATGACCTTTTCTGTGACAATATTACAGTTTGATACACCAAAATGATGAGGATGGATTAAAACTGGTGAGCAGAATATTGGAATAAAAATGTTGTAAAAAGCAAATTTCAAAGCTGCTAAAATTATTTATCATACTATTACATTAAAGGAAGTGATCCACCATTGCCCTTCCCCCACCTGTTGCTGCAAAATGCCAGATGACTGGCCAAATGTAGCCTAGTCATAATCAATATCGCCTAGTCATAATCAATATCGCCTAGTCATAATCAATATCGCCATCACCACAATTTTGAGCGATAGCATTACTGTTCCATGTTTTATTGATACCATACAAACCTACTTTGCAATACTGGGATTATTTCATGAAAAAGCACAACAGTAAGAGGTTTTCTTCTGCATAACAAACACTACGCAATTTTATCAGAGTTATTTCAATGTCTTTGCTTAGAAAATGTGCCAGTGTTATAATCATCGTAACAAGCAGCATTGTCAGTAAGTGACACTTTTGTGGCAGAAATCAAAGCAATTAGATCATGTCTAGTTTTCTTTTTTGTGTAAATACTTTGTCACGAAGAAGAAAGGGGATTTTATTGCCTTCAATGTCACCACACTATGACATAATTATAACAGTTTAATCTCACATAGGATAACAGCTCCACACATCATGTGTCAGTGTTTTAGAGTATCCAAAACACTTCTGTGCTGAGGGGGAAATAAATGAGATTTGTACTGGTGGACTTATTGAAAAATTTAACACAAAGCTGTCAACTCCTTGCAAAGAGTAACAAGATCAATATTTACGTACCCATTATGGCAATATTGCCTAGCATTGACAGAATGTTTACATAATGATACAGGGTTAGTCTCATATTTAGTTCTGGCTGACCAGCAAGCTTCTCCTTTGACAGTGAGCCATTAAAGGCAGAGTAAGTTAACAGAGAGCCTTTGTAAGAGAGGCTCCTGATTGGCTCTCTTTATCAGCCATAAATTAAACATACAGTAATATCCCTTTGTTGCTGGGAGGGTTGCCTAGTAGAAGCAGCATTACCTCAAGCTCACCTTTATTCTCACGTGGCACAGCACAACAATACTATTTAAAAAAAAAATCAAGTGGCTTATAAACATCTTCATATGAAGACCTTGTGGAGAAAAAACTAAAGGTTGCCACAATTTTATGGCAACAAAAGGCTGCAGCTAATTCAGATTCAAATCCAACGACTTAATGACACTAATTCATGTGACTGCTACGTCTATGTGTCCTAGTCCAAGTTAACACTGCAACGCGCCACACTGCTGTGTTGAAACAATGTTTTTAGTACATGTATTACAACATTGTCTTCCTCTTCCCTTTAAATGTAACTACAGATCACAAAATACACATTTCACAACTAAATTATTCTGCAGCCTGTGCTAGAAAATGAGAAAGTCCCTTTCATTGCTGTTGTTACTAGAACGTTGGGACTAAAGAGTCAAGTTTTCCTTTCAGATGGAGACTATCCCCATAGTTACTAACTATGGGTGTAATTAAGGCACCTTAGGGAGGAAGACGCAAAACAAAATGATTGCAACTGTAAATCCCCAGAGAGAGGCCCAATGTTGAAATATAAAGCCAAATAAAAGGCTTGTTCTTTCTTCTTCCTCTTCTCCTTCTTTCCATCATTCCAGAGACCAACATATTTCTCATAGTACTACATAATCCTACTTCTATCTGTCTGCACTCATACAGTTACACTTTAAAGAAAGATGAAAAAAAAATACTTTTGCTAAGATATTAGTTATTTACATGCAAGGAGAGGGAGTATGATGAAATGCTGGGGTTTTAGTACTTGTATGCAAAATTCAACACACAATGATACAGCAGTGTTTGTCCCCTGAGAATGTGTGTCTTAGTGAGGGCAAAATGTAGGCTTCAAAGACCTGCAGCTTGTCAAAGACCTGCAGCTTGCTCCGGGTTGAAAAGGTAAAGTCAGATGCAGACCGAAGAAGTCAAAAAGGCAGGGGAACATTCCCACCATTTACCAAGAAGCTAAACACGAAAGGACACATTATAAGTTTCCCTACATCACGTTTTGGGAGTAAGATTCAAACACAGGAGTATGTGTCACCCCGAGCCTAGTCCTCGCTAATATTACCAGCACAAACAAAGTGAAAATTGATCTAGCTAGCCAATCTAAAGCGTCCCAGCTTGAATTTTAAACAAAAACGAAGATAAGAAAAAAGCACAACTCCCGCTGGTTTTCCCTAAAAGCAGACATCCAGCTGGTCGTCCAAGTCCTGACTGACGGAGGTCTGAGAGATTTTATTTATTTATTTATTATTTTTTTTTTTTGACAGCTAGCGTTGTTGGGAGTTAGCCGGCGGGCTATATTGAAAAAATATGGCGAGTTAGCACAGTTAGCAGTATTCCCTGAAGATAACACACAAAGCAAGAGGTCATGGTCTGAAAACAAACAGATAGTCCACAATCAGGACGTTAAAATGTCTGTCTTCTTACCTCCGCAGTGGCTCCTCTCTGAATGTTTTCGGCAAGCCCAGAAAGATGGGCAGGAATTGTGTGTAGCCTTGTCTGTACACTGAAGCGGAAGCCGCTAGCACAGTGGGCGTGACCGGAAGATGGACAGACGTGGTCGGCAGCCAATCAGGTGAAAGTAGAGATAACCACAAAAACAATAACAGATAGATAGATAGATAGATAGATAGATAGATAGATAGATAGATAGATAGATAGATAGATAGATAGATAGATAGATAGATAGATAGATAGATAGATAGATAGATAGATAGATAGATAGATAGATAGATAGATAGATAGATAGATAGATAGATAGATAGATAGATAGATAGATAGATAGATATGGTTATCCATTTGATCAAATGCACCTAAAGAGGTGAAAGGGACTCGAGTTGTGCCGTATTAATGGTATAGCTGATTCTTCATGTTTTTATAAATAAAAAGTAAGAAGTAAATTTTTGTTCTGCCAGTTCCTTGTAGTCCTTGTAATTAGTAAATAGAATCAATATTTAAATGCAATATAAATACTATATTCTGTTGCCACAACTCTTAGCACTCCACCAATATGCCCTTTTCCCATAAACAGTACCATTTAAGTTAGTCACAAACCATTTAAGGACAAAGCAAACACGCTCCTGTCAGATGAGGAGAAACTGCTTTTGTTGGCCTACATTTAAACTGTCTCATAGTAAAATAACACTACACAACACTCAGAATGCAATTTGTGGTTACTCTTTTCTTCAGCTGGGACAAAGAAGCTGGACAGAGTCGATGGGAAGATGAATTGGGCGAATTAAGCGACAATACTGGAGAAACACCTTTGAACGCAAGTTTTATTATTATTATTATTATTATTATTGTAAAAATGTATTATTGTATTTTATCGTTGCAAACTCCTTGAATCTATATTGAGTCTTACTTTGGCCCACTCTTATAGTCAGACAAGTTCATTTCAGGACTGGTGTGAGGTCTCATCTAAGCCATGTTATTTCTTTCATAAATAATGTAGCTTACTAGTCACTGATATGTCTGATATAGCTGACTGCATCCTCATGGATGAAGACAGGCTTAAGGTCCTTTCGAATACCAAGGTCAATCTTAGGTCATTCTAAGCTAAAAATGGTCAATCATCTATTCTCATTTTTGTTTATTTGACAATATAACATAAAAAAAATTTAAAAATAGCTAAGTGTGCTGTGAAAAATGGCACAAGATAAATAGTTTTTGAGCTACATTTTTCATTTAAACTGAGCATAAGTAAGAAAGGCCTTATTCCAGTTTAATTTAGTGTGATAACCAGCAGGGGACAGAAAGGCAGTGTTCTGTGTGTCTCTGCAGTTACATAACAATAATGGTGTGATGAGGAGAACAGGGAATGTGATCAGAGGGCAGGAGAGGAGGAGGGGAGCAGACGGAGAACACTAGAGGAAAAAATAGTTTCTATTCATCCTCTCAATGGGACACAGAGTCCTGCTTCTACTCAATCGCTCACACAAAGACACAGTCATTCTTAGCACATACAGAGGCCCTGGGCATAATAAAGAAATTTTAATGAAACAATGGAGTACTGTGGATTTGTAAGATTTTTCTGATGTGCCACTGGATAAAGGGTCATCATGATCTGTGCACAATTAATTGCAATTGAAATCACTCTACAAAGAATGCAAAGTATCCTGATCAACTTGGTAAGGGATCAGGATAATCAAAAGGACTTCCAACATTTTTTAACTGGTGAATCAAACTCTTTAAATCAAAGCGTTTGTTTAATTAGTCAGAGTTAACAGAAACATTCAATTTGTCATGAAATGGTGGTGTTTGCGGTGGTGAGGCAGCACGCTGGAGACCCAGGTAAGTTGACGGTGGTGTAATTTAATAACAAAATAGTCCACAAAAACACAGTCAATAAACAGAGTCCGCGGCCAGGCAGCACGGCTGAGCGGAAGCCAGGGCTCAACGCCGGTAGCAACTGGTCTTACAGGCGGCTAAACAACACAAAAACGGCAGACCAAGGCAAAAGTACGACAACGACAAACAATGACAAACAACGACAAGGACCCGACCAGGAACAAAGGACACAGGAGGGACTAAATACACTGAGGGTAATCAGTGACACACCTGGGAACAATCAAGGGGAAGACAGGACAACTAGGAGAACTCAGGACACAGAAACTCAGAATTAAACACAGAAAAACACAGAACCTGACAGTACCCCCCCTTAAAGGGCGGCTACCAGACGCCCAAAAACAAAATCCAAAACCCAAAAACCAGGGTGGGCGGAGGGGCGACGGAAGGAGGGCCAGAGTCCAGAAAACAAAAAACTACCCACAAAAGGTGGGCGGAAACACAAGGAGGGGCCAAGAGTCCAAAACTAAACAGAAAGAGGGCAGAGGCGTCGAGGGGGGTCCGGAGGGCGTCCTCGGCGCCCGCGGCAGACCCCACGGGGGAGGTCCGGAGGGCGTCCTCGGCGCCCGCGGCAGACCCCACGGGGGAGGTCCGGAGGGCGTCCTCGGCGCCCGCGGCAGACCCCACGGGGGAGGTCCGGAGGGCGTCCTCGGCGCCCGCGGCAGACCCCACGGGGAGGTCCGGAGGGCGTCCTCGGCGCCAAGGAGCACTAGGGGACTCGGGAGGAGCACTAGGGGACTCGGGAGGAGCACTAGGGGACTCGGGAGGAGCACTAGGGGACTCGGGAGGAGCACTGGGAGTCTCGGGAGGAGCACTGGGAGTCGGGAGGAGCACTGGGAGTCTCGGGAGGAGCACTGGGAGTCTCGGGAGGAGCACTGGGAGTCTCGGGAGGAGCACTGGGAGTCTCGGGAGGAGCACTGGGAGTCTCGGGAGGAGCACTAGGGATCTCGGGAGGAGCACTAGGGATCTCGGAGGAGCACTAGGGATCTCGGGAGGAGCACTAGGGATCTCGGGAGGAGCACTAGGGATCTCGGGAGGAGCACTAGGATCTCGGAGGAGCACTAGGGATCTCGGAAGGAACACTAGGGATCTCGGAAGGAGCAGAGTCCACGGAGGCCGGAGCGGATCCGGCGGAGCAGGAGCAGGAGCCGGCGGAATCCGGCGGAGCAGGAGCCGGAGCGGAATCCGGCGGAGCAGGAGCAGGAGCCGGAGCGGAATCCGGCGGAGCAGGAGCAGGAGCCGGAGCGGAATCCGGCGGAGCAGGAGCAGGAGCCGGAGCGGAATCCGGCGGAGCAGGAGCAGGAGCCGGAGCGGAATCCGGCGGAGCAGGAGCAGGAGCCGGAGCGGAATCCGGCGGAGCAGGAGCAGGAGCCGGAGCGGAATCCGGCGGAGCAGGAGCAGGAGCCGGAGCGGAATCCGGCGGAGCAGGAGCAGGAGCCGGAGCGGAATCCGGCGGAGCAGGAGCAGGAGCCGGAGCGGAATCCGGCGGAGCAGGAGCAGGAGCCGGAGCGGAATCCGGCGGAGCAGGAGCAGGAGCCGGAGCGGAATCCGGCGGAGCAGAGTCCACGGAGGCCGGAGCGGAATCCGGCGGAGCAGGAACGGCAGCCGGAGCGGAATCCGGCGGAGCAGGAACGGCAGCCGGAGCGGAATCCGGCGGAGCAGGAACGGCAGCCGGAGCGGAATCCGGCGGAGCAGGAACGGCAGCCGGAGCGGAATCCGGCGGAGCAGGAACGGCAGCCGGAGCGGAATCCGGCGGAGCAGGAACGGCAGCCGGAGCGGAATCCGGCGGAGCAGGAACGGCAGCCGGAGCGGAATCCGGCGGAGCAGGAACGGCAGCCGGAGCGGAATCCGGCGGAGCAGGAACGGCAGCCGGAGCGGAATCCGGCGGAGCAGGAACGGCAGCCGGAGCGGAATCCGGCGGAGCAGGAACGGCAGCCGGAGCGGAATCCGGCGGAGCAGGAACGGCAGCCGGAGCGGGGTCCGGCGGAGCAGGAACGGCAGCCGGAGCGGGGTCCGGCGGAGCAGGAACGGCAGCCGGAGCGGGGTCCGGCGGAGCAGGACGAGGAGCAGAGGCTGGAGCTGGGCTGGCGGAGCGGATGTCTGGCCTGGGAGGCAGAGGTTTAGCATCCCACGCCGCGAAGGCTGTCTGGCGTATATCCTCTGCCTCCCGCTGCAGCTCCACCAGCGCGGGGTGCTGGAGACGTGGAACCCAGTAGTCCAGCAGCAGTCCCAGGCGTATGGCGAACCCCAATCGCCTTAACGCATACGTGGACGTGCTCTTAGACTCCTCATATTCCTGGATCGTTCGGAGCAGCTCCTCTAAACCCTCTGGGTCCATTATGCGGAACAGCGTGCCTCACCGTACTTATGGTCGGGTCCTTCTGTCATGAAATGGTGGTGGTGAGGTGGTGAGGCAGACGCTGGAGACCCAGGTAAGTTGACGGTGGTGTAATTTAATAACAAAATAGTCCACAAAAACACAGTCAATAAACAGAGTCCGCGGCCAGGCAGCACGGCTGAGCGGAAGCCAGGGCTCAACGCCGGTAGCAACTGGTCTTACAGGCGGCTAAACAACACAAAAACGGCAGACCAAGGCAAAAGTACGACAACGACAAACAATGACAAACAACGACAAGGACCCGACCAGGAACAAAGGACACAGGAGGGACTAAATACACTGAGGGTAATCAGACACACCTGGGAACAATCAAGGGAAGACAGGACAACTAGGAGAACTCAGGACACAGAACTCAGAATTAAACACAGAAAAACACAGAACCTGACACAATTAGTTCTACTACTGTGCACAACCTTGAAGAAGTCCATCATAAGTAACAGAAAAGTACTATGAAGCAGGGTTCCCTCAGGGTTAAAACACACTGGGTAGTGAGCCATGATGTTCATTTCAAAATGGCCATGTTTTATCTTTTTATAGAACAACATAGTTTGTGAATTTTTAGGCATTTTGGTATGCTTTAAATAATTTTTATATCCTCCAAACCACAAGCACCAACACTCAGATTGTTGGTGAAATCACATAATTTTAGTTCTTGATTGTTTCCATTTAGATTTTTAAGGTGTTTTGTTTTCTTGATTGCAGAAAAGTGTTCAAACCATATTTGATCATCTGAATGGACTATAGACAAATGTTGACACCAGTAACATATGAAGGCAATGTTGAAAGAGGGCCAGTGGTCCTGTTGTGATGCAATTAATCAAACTATGAACAAATGTGTTTAACATTTTTGTTTTCTTCATCACACTTGTAATGTATGGTGTCAAAATCAAAATCCATGTCATGACTCTGCTCTGCTTTTATTGTCGATATACATTTGTTAGTCAGAAAAATACACCTTTGAATACTTTGCATAACAATTACTGCAAAATATTACATAACTTGTGGTCCTGCAAATAATTTTACCTTATCACTTAAATGTTTTCTTCCTTGTTTATGGTTGTTCCACTTACAACTACTAGTGTGGTTTTCCACTTACAACTACTAGTGTGGTTTCTGCTGCAACTCTTCCTTCTTAACACAAGGTGGCGGTAGAAGATTGTCCTATTTTTTTTCTCTTTCTCCACAGATACAGCTAAAACATTTCAATATTAAGCAAAATTCAGTATTTCTTGTTAGTCATGAAAGAAAGTGAAACTCCTTCGTTGTATAGAATTGTCACACATAGCAATAAAATTCAAGACTTTGTTTCTTGTAATTGTGATGGTTATAGATTACAGATGATAAAAATCCAAGATTCAGTTTCTCAGAAAATTAGAATACATTGAAAAAGGTAATTATTGGAAACCTGTTTTCTGAATGTGCAGAACTACTATGACATTCAAATTTTCTGGGGAAATGAATTTTGGGTTTTCTTTACCTGAAAGTTGTAATTGTTGAAATTACAATACAATAAAATGCTAGAAATATTATTTTTTGTGTAATTAATCTATTTAAAATAACTGCTTCACTTTCTGAGATAACTGCCAAGAAACATTGAACTCCTACGCAATATGATTTTTAAAATGTACTTGTATGTTACTTTCCACCTCTAATTGGATAAGGCCTACCAAACAGCTGATTTTATTTCTTTAGTTCTTTGTGAAAAACATTGCTTGTGCATCAACAATTTTGGTGTAATTGTGCATTTTGTTTTTGTGGTTTTTTTTTAACTGATTTCCATTGAGCTGGAAGACATGTAATAAAACATTGTTCCATAGTATATTATAATTTCTCAGAGATGCTTAAATAAATAGATGTTTTGACAAGACAATCAATTTATGGTGATTGCCTGAGCTCAAAACCCAGCAGCATAAAACACAAATCCCCGTTATGTAATAGAGCCCATTAAACTGAGCTCATCACAGTAATGATACTGTAGATTATCTAACTATGTGGAAGCACGCAGTTTCAATGTCAGTAGTTTGTTTGAATCCTGACACTTTCCTACCAATTAAACTGAATAATTCAGATCAATTTGTGTATATATATATATATATATATATATATATATATATATATATATATATATATATATATATATTATAATAATTCCCTTCTCACCCACCGCGGGTGGTTCTTATCCTCTGAGCTCGGGTCCTCTACCAGAGGCCTGGGAGCTTGAGGGTTCTGCGCAGTATCTTGGCTGTGCCAAGGACTGCACATTTCTGGACTGAGATGTCTGATGTTGTTCCTGCGATCTGTTGTAGCCACTGCTCCAGTTTGGGGGTTACTGCCCCGAGGGCCCCGATGACCACAGGCACCACTGTGGTCTTCACCTTCCAGGCCCTCTCCAGTTCTTCCCTGAGGCCCTGGTATTTCTCCAGTTTCTCGTGCTCCTTTTTCCTGATGTTGCAATCACTTGGTATTGTTACATCAACCACAATGGCTTTCCTCTGATGTTTATCCACTACGACAATGTCTGGTTGGTTCGCCATTACCATTCTGTCTGTCTGGGTCTGGAAGTCCCACAGGATCTTAGCTCTGACGTTCTCCACCATCTTTGGGGGTGTTTCCCACTTTGATCTCAGGGTTTCCAGTCCATATTCTGCACAGATGTTTCTGTACACTATGCCTGCCACTTGGTTATGTCGTTCCATGTACGCTTTCCCTGCCAGTATCTTGCACCCTGCTGTTATGTGCTGGACTGTCTCCGGGGCCTCCTTGCACAACCTACACCTTGGGTCTTGTCTGGTGTGGTAGATCTGGGTCACAATTTTTTACAGATTTTAACTTCTGTTCTTTGAATAGGAGGGAAACCAGTCAGATTAAAGCAGTATATACATACAGGGCACTGCTTATTGACTTTCTGAGATGCAGAAAGTCTTAGAAAGTTCTGTAGAGATTTTTTTTTTTCAAAATAGGGCAGATGAGAATCACATTATTTGCGGTGAGTAATTTTCCACTTCAGCCAAAACATTAGAACAAATAATGACTAGTTTAGCCTGATAAATCTGCAGCTGGGGGAAGACATTTTATGGTTTGGTCCTACAAATTTGAAATGAAAGTACAAATGTAACTAAATTTAAAAGTGCACAACATTCCAAAAAGTGGGGGCAGTAAAATGTGACACAATGCCAATCACTTATTCTCAGATGGCTTGATAAAGTGTAGTGACAGTGCTGATGCAGCTCGTGCTTTCACCCACCTACACGGCCATCCAATTACTGCACTGAAAACTTCTTGCAAACGTAGCGATTTTCTATTGTTTCTCATGTCCCAAAAGCAACTGAAATCTTTTAGACTCTGTAACTGGGAGGGTATGTCAATGAGAGGCACATCGGGGTGTTTTTCCACACACAATTAGTAAAATATGTTGATTGTACTGTGGAAGTATTTGTTGATTGGTTTACTGAGTTTCCTCCCCCTGGTCTCACACTGAGGTTCGGGCTACTGCCGGGTGATGTGAGTTCCTAAATCTCACCACATCAAATGAGGTGATTGCAAAAGCAAACAAATGGATCTTTTGTGTTGGTAAAGAACGTTTTCTGTTTTCGGCAGAATCAGTGCAAATGTTTTCTTACACAAAAGGTGGAAAAAAGTTTTTAACGTTACCCACTGTAGAGGGGAAAATGTGCTTCTTCTCCATTCAGCCAAAGAAATTCTTCCACTTCAAGCTTGAGAAGTGGGACGACAGAGACTCACATGCCCTAATCGTCCCGTTTCTGACCTCAATGGCCTCATAAATGTGATTGTTCTGACCTCAACTCATAAGCCCATAAAGTCCTAATACGGTCAGAACTGAAGACGCCTTTAAAATAAGAGTTGAAACTCCTTCAAGAAAAAAGAAATGTCAATTTGTCCTCGACTTTCAGGCTCCTGAATGAGAATCTAGAAGAATTAAAATGATGTACCAAATATATATATATTGAAGTTATTTTCATTTTTTCTTCAAAAAAAAAAAAGATTTCTAGCTTTAGAGAAATATGAAAACCTTTTTCCACTTTGTACACTGAACACTACCATGTTAAGTTAAGGACTTCAACTGTGTATTTATTTTCTATAGATTTCTATAGAGATGTGACTTAAAGATGTTTGATATGCATGTAAAAAATTAGAAACAGTCACAATCAGCGGTTTTCAAGTCACAACTTCAGACAACAACAATGTGTTGCAAAATGATTTTGACCTTTTCTGTTTACTGTGTTAATTTATTTTATTACATCCTTTAGAGACCCGGTCTGGGCCAAAGGATAGGAATTTTTGCTGGGATTTTTATTTTGGTGTAAATATGTGGCTAAATGCATTTGAATGTCTCGTTTTCCAAAATACGCATGAATTTGTGTTTATTTCCCGGTGGCTTTGTGCGTCCTCACAACGGTGGCGACAGAGCTGCAGAAATGCGACTCGCCCCGTCTTTCAATGCATCCCATTATCTGGGCGGGGAGAGGAGAGGGGCAGCGAGATAGTGACCAGGGCCACCACATTGCTTCCCTCTTCTCAGACACAGTTGCACTGAGCAGGAACCGGCTGGTTTGTGCTATCCGCGCAAAGAAATCCCAAAGAAACGAGAGGACCGCAACAAAACGGAGTCGTTTGAAAAATTTGCTTCACGAGCTGGGGTTTTTGTTTTTGCGGTCTTGAAGCTTTCAGGCTCATCTTCGTCCTGTTGCTCTGCACGCTCGCATTGTAGGAGGAGGACTGGTCTCCCTTTTGTGTGGCTCTGCGCTTGTTTATTCAACTTCTTCTGCCTCCCGAATTCAGCAAACAGGAGGTGGTTTGTTGCAGCTTCTCATTGTGTCGCCCTACACGGAATGAATGACAAAAACAAAGGAGGTTGATGTCCATAACTCTCCGACTCACCTCTCCTTCGCCTCGCCAAAGGAACGGAGACTTCATCTCCGGCAGAAGATGGAAAGCGGAGGCGGGACGGAGAGCGCGGACGGCGGCCAGGGGCAGCACTCGGTGCCCGGTCAGCAGCAGCAGCAGCGCGGGGCTGAAACGGCGGCACAGCCCGCTCACACGGGTGAAAAGAAAAAAAAGATAAACCGGGCACCGTCTCCAGCGAGGCCGAAGGACGTGCCCGGTTGGTCGCTCACAAAGATCCGCGGAGGGATCGGGAGCACGACCCTGAGCGTCAAGCCCGGAGCCATCCATCTGGGCAGCCGCATTTCCAGGCGCAGCCCGGTGGGCAGCCTCGCTGGAAAGGACGGCAAAGCCGAGAGGGGCGGCGGTAAAGCGGTGGGGAAATCTTCGCTGCTGTCCAAGACCTCGGCGTCCAAAGTGGCAAAAAGCAACAGCGGCCGGAGGAAGGCGTCGGACGCCAGCACTGGGTCCGACGACCTGTCCAAAGACTCCGGGTGCGCCGCGGGGAAGCTCTCCCCGACAGACAGCAGCTCCGAGCTTTCGGACTGCGCCTCCGAGGAAAACAAACTCTCGGCGGATGCTGGGAGCAGCGACACCGAGTCGAGGAGCAGCCGCGGCGCAGAAGGAGAGAAGCCGCTCGGGAGCAGAGCTGGCCAGCGAGCAGCCGCCAAGAACACCTGCTCCACCGCGGGGAAGGATGAGAAGGATCGGCGCTCTCTGAGCGTGGAGACCGGGGAGGACAGCACTTCCCCGGGCGAGGAGCGGTCGGCCACCTCGTTTGACAGCAGGGTGCCGGCCAGCACTTCTCTGGCGTTCTCAGACCTCACGGAGGAGTTCACCGACGGCATGCATGAGGAGTACCTCAGGGAGATAGAAGAGCTGAGATCTGAAAATGATTACCTCAAAGTAAGAAGCATGTATTTCCTGTTTATCTGTGGTTCCCGTATTAACACGCATCACTGTAAGACATTAGTACTAAAAATTGTGTCATTTTACAATTAACAACTCAGTAAGTTTGGCTGTTTTTCATTACATGGGGTAGTTTTAGCAAATTGAATACCAGCTCCAGGGTGTGACACGATCCAAACCAGATCTGAGCTTTGACTTTCAGGATGACTCGAACCCAACAGAGTCTGGAGTTTGCTTTTTACCTGAGCTTCTTTGATTCATAGTTTGATATCTGAACCTGCTCTGCAGTCTCTCTGCAAATCAGAGGCCCTTAAAGCCAAATGCCTTTGACTGTGTGTGCATTGACAAATAACAATAGAGCTTCTGTTCAGGATGAGGCACTAAACACACAACCAACCAATCCTAGGAAGATGTACAAGCAGCTGGTTTGCTTTTGTATTTCAGGATTTTCTGTCTTTTACATTTCTGATTTTTTTTCTCTCTCTCAGAGAACACAAAAATTACTTGGAATTGCTGATGAGAAAAACTGCTAAATTTGTCCTTCTCATTAGAAAAAAGAGATGCTTAATTCGTTGCACTATTGGCACCTATGAGGCTGAAAACTTTCTGTCTTTGAACAAAATGCTTTGGCCTGATGGACCCGAAAGTAATTTGAATGGCAGCTTGTGCAGAAAAGTTTGATTGTGATTTGTATTCATTTACATAATAGTGACCTTAGACACAATAGCCTTGGAAAAACAGTATTTGTGCTTACAGTAAGCAATACAGTTTAGTGCCAATAGCCCATCTTTCAGGCATAGTCTGATCCATTTGACACAAACACTGTGCTGCTGATACTGCTGTAGAGTGACATCCAGCATATTAAGTGAAATTGTTACAGTAGAACTATCCTGACGATGTTATCAGTTAAAAAACAATAAACAAAAAAACTGTTTCAGATCTCGTAGACAGCAGTGAAAAGCAATACAATTGAATCTACTGGTCAAGCCCACCTTGAGATTGACTGATTAAGGGAACGATCAATTAGGGAGCATGTCCCGAAGCTCTGCAACGTCTGACCAGACAAGCCAGTAATTGTCAGAGATTGATTGGAAGCGATGACTGATCAGGAACACTTGCCTCTGTGAGTTTCTGGTTCTTTATGCCCTGCTTGTTCTGAAGGGAGTGTGTTATTTATTTATTTATTTTTTAGCTTAATTATGACCTTTTTTTTTCTACTCAAACCAGGTTTCAGGAAGAGCTAGTCAGCCCTCAGTGAAAAGTGATTAGATAATTGACCATTTTCAAAATAACAACACTACTTTGGTGATTTTAGTTGATTTCATCAACATGTGTAGAGACGTTTCCCTAGTGTCTCTCTTTGTGCTGGACAAATATTTGAAAATTAATTGGCAATGCATAAGTGTTAATTCAATTCTTAAGACATCCATCTTGTCATAGTGTTGAAGTTGTAGAAAAAAGATGTAAATATGTCACATTTTACACCCATTGCAATAATAGTTAGATGATCCATATTTTCTGAATGTGGTAATGGACGGTCGACCAAACTTCTCACCGACATTCCTTTGCAATTTTTATTTGTGCAAGCGAAACACTGAAGCATGATGACACTCGTGCGTTTCTCTCTTACTTAAAGCTACTCTTTGCGTCCTCTGAGTGCCGTTTTTCTCTGGCAGACTGCAGATTGAATATAGGCCGTCGTGATTCAGAGCTACCTCTTTAGACCACAGCAAATCCTCCTGGGAGGGCCTGCAGTGATGTCAATCTGTCGTTGCAGCTGTGAGGAACACCTGCAAAGATCTAAACAACATACTGTTTAAGCATCAGATTAACAGACTGGAGCTAAATCTTTACTCCAAATCTTATTCGTGGGCACCTTCTTTCCTTTAAGCCTCAGTTGATGTTCTTTGTTATTGTTTGATCTGGACTCTGCCTCTGTATTGCTGAGTGAGCTTGTAGTGCTGCCTCTCTGTCACTATTGGCAATTAGCCTATAAACATCAGTCAACTTAAAAATCTTTTGCGTCTGCAGTGTGTTAAAAATACTACTTGCGATTGACACTTTACGACGTCTTTCATGCAAACAACAGTTTCATTGTTTCTGCACATTTGGCTCCGTTTTTGCCCTTTTCAAGTGTTTTCCCTTCCGCTTAAAGTTAAACAGAAACCTTTCTGTTCAGTATAAGTAAGCCTTTGCTACTCGTAGCTATCCCGCTGATTTCAAAAGTATTTTTCCCAGGCTTGATTTAATTTTTGAGGAATGTCTGTCCTGTGACTACAGTTTCAGATGCAAGACGAGCATCAGTTTCCTTGTGCAGACAGGAAACAGGTCTGGGTTAGTGTGATTTCACCACCACGTTGTTTGACACTGAGAGCTTTTATTTTAACTTCCTGGTAGGTAGGATTGTTTTGTGCTGTGGCATAATTTATATGGATACTCTGTCTACTTTGGGTAAATATGTCTTTTGGGAAAAAACTAAAATATAGCAGGAATAAACTGCATAAGCCATGTTGATGACCCTTCTTTTTTTCTTTTTTCTTTTTTTTCGGGGGTCACAGCCTGTCATATTTCACCACAGATAACATGGCTATATTGATATAACAGTTTAAGTTCTTGACTTGATGGAAGAAGCCAGAGGACCCAGAGGCAACATGCAAACAATATGAAAGATTGAAGAATGCTATGTTTGTCAGTATACATAATTATGTAGTGTTATTTATTAAATCAGAAAAAAAAACTGAACTTCAAGTAAAAATACAGTGACGTCTAATAGTTTGAGCAGGTTGGTAGAGAAGTGGAAGTAGGCCGTGGTGAAACTGCAGCACAGGGGTAGAGATGAGGGTACAAATTGACCCAAAGCCTTTGGATTTGGGTAAATGTTACAAATTATTTTAGCTCCGAAGGTTGTCGCTTGAACAGCAAAGTGCATAAAAGAGCAATTTTATTTTGGTTTCTTGAGTCATTGAACATAATCCTAAACTTATCACTTCATTGCACACAACTGTTACCTATATATGACCTAACACTTGACAGGTATGTGATTAGAAAATCTTGGTTTTTAACCTGATATCTGAATTTGTGACAGGTTAAACGCTTGTTTAACAGAGCATATCATGGGCTCTGTTTAAAGAAAATACCTCCTTGTCCACTACAGATACTAAGCAAACAGGACAGAAAGGGGAGTTTAATTAATGCTGCTCTGTGTATTTTCCTCCCACCTAATGTTCTTAAACAATTTTATTATATAATTTAAGTCGAATAAAACTGTTTAGGTTAGTATTAGAGAATGAATATTCAATATGTATAATCTGGAAATCAGCACCAAAATATAAAATATACATTTCACTTGTCTTTGAATTACATTGACACTTTTGCCATTTCTTGCATTTCATTTTAACATTGCAAGCAGCATGAAGAACTTGCATGCATTCATACAGGAGAAAATAAATCAAGAAATCTGAATGATACTCTTGCATTCTGAGAATGTAATGGAAAAGAGGAAAACATCAACTTTTAACACAAAATACTCAGAGCCTTGCTCAAGCATTCACATTCCTTGCTTTTTTTCCACATTTTGTCATGTTACAGCACCAAACCGCAGAGTACTTACAGGGGATTTATGTGATATTTCCAACAAAATGTAAATAATTTGACTGAAGAAGAAAAATGACACATAGTTGAGACAAAAGAATCTGAAAAGTGTGGTGTGCATTTTTATTCAGCTGTTTCTGAGTCATTCACCTCATGCTGCATTTGCAACTTCCAAGTTTTTTGGGGATTTGTTTCCACCAGCAGATTAAAAAACTAGCATGCAGAAATGACAATGTTCAAGTCTTTCCGTTTGATTTTGGTCTTTAGACTTGAACTGGGTCTCGCTAACACATTAGTTTATGCCTTCTAATTGAATCCCTTGCTACATGTTCTTTCTGGAAGATGAACGTCTCAGGTCTATGCTGCCTCTATCAGTTTTTCTTCCAGAATTTATCTCCAACTGATTTCACATGAGCTCTGACCGTCTGTCATATCCCAGCAGCATGATGCTGCAAGTGAGACATTTTAAAGCTGTAATGGTTTATTCAATGTGGGGTGTTAGGTGGCCCTTTGTGGCAAAGTTTGAATTTGATTTTCTTTTAAAAATGATTTTCCCTTCTCTCCAACCTGAGCTTGGTATTTCTTCAGCTTCTCCAGAGATACCATGGGCTTCTTGGCTGCTTCTCTGAGGAATGACGTTCTTCCCTGGTCTGTTGTCGTTTTGTAGGCTTGCGGTATTGTCCCCCTGTTTTCACTTGCTGATGGATTAAACCCTGCCTCCGTAGAACAGCTGCATTAAAAAAGAGATGAAATCACATCTCCTGTTCAGTCGCTGAGGGATTTCTGAAGAACACTTTTCTCTTTATTTTATTGAGGGGCATCAGAGTTAAAGGGCTCACCACTATGCACATCTCTGTTTTCAAATGATTCCCTTTTTTTTAACTTGATCATCCTTCCTTGTGTTCTTCTTTGTGTTGGTGTATTAAATAATTGTCAAAATAAATGGTAAACTCTGAGGCTTTAACATGACAAAATAAAAGCAAGAGATGTGATTACCATATAATTTCAAATATTAAAGTGTCTTAGCTCTCATACATGACAGCTGATTGGCTGATTTTTTTCTCCTGACTGGCTGTGTGCTCACATGACGGAGACAATCTTCCCTTTTCTTTCTCAGTTAGCTGTGAAAAGCAGGTCAGTGGAACAAGCTCTCTCTCTCTGTCTCTAAGTCTCTTGCCACAATAACTTGTGATTCCCTGGTCTCATGTCCTCACTTTCTCCCCTCCTATCTGTCATGTTTCATCATCTTTACGTACAGTTGGTCTTCAAGAATCGAGAATTTTTTTAATCTTCATCTTTGGAGATCCATCCTTACTTTGGTGCACTGGCCCTCTTAAATGAACATATTTTTCAGTTTGTTCTTCTTTTATCTTGTTTCTTCTCTGATTGTTTTTTTTTTTTTTTTTTTTTTTTTTTTTTTTCATTTCCTACATTTCCACCCTTTTCCTTCTGGAATCAAGCCTCTGCTCCCTGGATTGCACATTTGTACATGTGGTCCTCGGAGAACAAATTACTTCCTGCTGAAGTCAATGTTAGTTTCATCAACACCGGGTTGCTTACAAGACACTGTGCTGCATTATAATCCCAGATACTACCCTGAAGTGTTTTATTGCCCATTAAAAATATATGCATTGGCAATAAAAACAGTGCCATGATGAAGTGATGAACTGTAAGATTTCATAAATTGCACCAGTTGGGGAAAAAAGGAGCTATTTCTGTTTTGTTTACACTTTGGTCGACAGCATCACAAGAGGCGGAAGAATCGATCTGATCAGCTCAGACCATTCAACTCTATTGTGGATAAGCAGCTTTTAACCAATTGGACTTTTTTTTAGCATACATTAGAAAGCATTTGAGTTCCAGTCTATCTTGGTCCTCTTCCCAATCCATGTCTTTTGTTTTGGCCAAATGTTTCTGAAATACATTCATTGCTCCTAAATGTAGCTGTCAAGCTTAACTGCTACTAAATATAAGTAAGTACCTTTGAACAAGGGATTGGATTGAAAATGTGACCAAAGAGGAAGAAACACAGCAAAGAAAGCATAAATGAATATCAAGGCTCAGTTGTGCCTTATTTGATGTCACCAGAGGTCATTTAGTTTTAGGGAAGGTGCAGTCCACAGATAAAAATCAAAACCAATAGAAAGCTGACCGTGAGACACTCTCCTATTGGCAAAAACTATATTATCATTGAGAGTGATTCATTTTGAAAAAGATAAAAAAAAGTACAGCCAGTAGCTTTAATAGTTAGTAGCTCCACACTCATAGGAGTATTTTGTTGCTGCAATGACACATGCGAACCCTACCTACTGCTGAACCCACTTCGACTCATTCCATATTCCATGCACACATCGCGACACATCCCCAGAGCTTGTTGTTGCTAGAGTAGCAGCTCTGCAGAAGCTGACCCACATTATTCACTATAGTAAAATTGTGTCAGCACTACTACAACTACCGCTGCTTCGTATTCCCGTTTCCTGTCGTCCGCACACACGTGCTTACATGCGGAGATTTTAGCAAACACACACGCTTCTCGTCTCGGAGTCACTCTACTGCTGATGTGTTTTATCACACACACATCAGATCAAGGCTCTTCCCATGGATGATTATTTCATTGCTCACACCCACGCTGCTACAGGAGCTGCACCCCAAAATATGATTCAGAGGGATGATGCAATTCATGTTTCTGGGTTGAAATGAATCATTGATTGCCATTTGTTTAAAATGAGAATTAGGTAATATGCAGCGGATCTCTTTGCAACATTTTTCACATGGTGTCCAAGAATTAAGTTTTTTTTGCGTGTTTCACATTTCTCCTCCACAAAGCTCCTGTATGTTCTTGTTGCTTTAGATATTCAGGTTTATTTCAGACCCTTCACAGGAAGTAAAACACCCAGACAGAAAGACAACAAAGCAGAAACAGCATCCAACCTAAAGAGTGATGCTGAAAGTTTTGAGCTTGCTGGTGATATGCCTATTCTTAAAACATGTGAGAACATCTTGCAATAACTTTTGCTTATGTAATTCTGTCTTCTGATGACCCCTTCGGTTGCTGTAGCAGACAGTCGAGTCTGTAATTATGAGGTAATTATTAGGCAGTTATTAGACTAATGAAGAGAAGATGAAGTGGCCAACAACAAGCTGACCAAAGAGATTACGTTGATAACAAGGTCAGTGGGATGATATTTTCAGATGATTGCCTCGCCATGGTCATAAGAGGCTACAAAAGCTCTTCATAAATGTTGAAGGATTCCCTTTATGTCCATATAATGTTTTCACCTTTTAACTGTGGTCCACTCTCAGGGAGTGAATTACCATCAAATATGCCGTGATCAGAATATGACTTGAATTCTAATGAAAACATGCATTCCTTTCTTAACTCCTCTCTTTCGTTTTAACCGTCTCCAGGATGAGATGGAGGAGCTGAGGTCTGAGATGCTGGAAATGAGGGACATGTACATGGAGGACGATGTTTACCAGCTGCAGGAGCTGCGCCAACAACTGGAGCAGGTAAAAACAAGCCAGAGCCTATCTAACAAAGGAAAGTGTTTCAGAGCAGGCAAGCAAGAAAAGGTTTATCTCTCATCTGCTTTTGATGCTTTTAGGCAAGACCAGTCCTAGGTTAGATTAGCAAAATGATCTCCAGGCTTCCCTTCAAAGTAACGTGAGCCAATGATTTTGCAATACTTAAACATCGACCGTAATTGCACCAGAGTGTTCTCGCATGCAATAGTCCACATTTCTTCCTTAAGTGTTGCAATGTTAGAGGAATTTTTTTTGGCTACTTTCTTGTGGCCAGATGCAAGAGGTGACGTTGATAACGATTGTTTATTAAAAACATGCATCTGCTAAGCACAAAATAAGCTGCCTATTATAGATGGCTACCACAATGTCCAGTGATTTTTATTTAGTTTACAACAGACACTTTTATAGTCTGGTTCAAGAAAATCTGGACAAAACTGCTGGAAATTATTATTTAAAAAAAGTCTAAAAGTTCATTTATTTAGAGCTGCTTTTGAAAAAAAAAAACTGAAACATGATAAATTATCTTGTGTTTCTCAACCTCAACTTTCCCTTGCTGTGCCACTGCAATGTCATTGTTGTTTTTGCTTTTTGGTATTTTTTCCTTATTTTCGTTATATTTTCCTTCTAATAATGTGTGAATTATTTTGCTACTGAAAATATGCTATGCAAATTAATTGCCTTGTTTTGCCTGCAGTACCTTCACAATGCTTTTACTGGCTTGTGTTAAATGCTTTATTGGCTTTATGACCTCAGGACTCAGGTCACGTTGTTAGCCACTTGTCCCTTTCCGCTGCTATTTTTGCAAGTTGCACATCTTCAAGCTGTTACCTTTGTTTTGTGTTTCAATTCTCACATTTTAATCCTTTCCAAACAAATAAAAAGCCACTTCATTCTAAGTGTTTTCTGTGTTGCATTAACTGCAGCAGGAACAAGAAAGGTTTAGACACAAGGACATGTGACGTCTTGTCTTTCTCCCTGTAGGCGAACAAAACCTGCCGCATCCTGCAGTACCGACTGAGAAAGGCAGAGCGGCGCTCTCTGCGCGTAGCCCAAACGGGCCAGGTGGACGGAGAACTGATAAGGACGTTGGAGCAAGATGTAAAAGTAAGTCTTAAAATCAGCAACTTTTTTTTTTTATAACAATTGCCGCACACGAAACGAGTTTGATGTATGAGAAATGCAATCTCAGTGGAGCTTGAAGTTTAACATCTGCAAAACTAGATTCTGCTGTCAGAGAATTTATCAGTGTTGAAACTTTGACATTTACTTACTATTTCAATGTCAACATTCAAGATTGTATTTATGTATCTGAGCTCTATTCAATAGAAATTAGCATTTGCTTGTGTCATTTAATTGCACTTTTGCCAGCAATGATTTTCAAAAGCAAGAATTTCAGTTTTGACTAAGTATGTGTTGTTCTACACTCACTTCTGTATAACTTGCTTCACTGTGACACTGGCTCCTGCACCTTCCTGGGGTTTTTTTTATTTTTATTTTTTTACAAACTTCAACTTTGTTGGTCTTTGAAATATATTTTCAACATATGGAGTAATTTAAGTTTACCAAAAGCGCACGGTTCGGGTCAGATGATTGAAAAGCAAAACCAGCTGGGTTTTCCAGCAGAACAATGATTCTTTGGCGGTTTCACTCATTGATATGGGCTTCTAGGTTTAGTGTTGTAGAAACGTAGAAATGCCACATCAGGACTCTGAGCTGACCTTGTGTTTTATCACACACACATCGAGATGAGTGGCACGGTACCTCCAGAAACCTTTCAGAGCAGATTCATTTCAGACGGACACAGACATGGTTAAAGCAAGCGACCTTCAGAGCATGTGCAAATAATCTACAGTCATCCCAGTCACTTCAGGAATTCCTGATAAAAACCTTTTCAACGTAAACGCTGAGTGAATACGGGGTGGGTTAGAGCTCACCCTGGTCAGTGGTTGCTCTTTGTTAAATTTCCAACGTTCCTCCGACATTTTCAACGTCAAGTAGGACACAATGAGGTCTTTATACACTCCAAGAGTGAGAGAGTGCATGAGAGTGCGGCCATGGTATCACTCTAAGGGGTTTCCGCCCGCTGCTGCAGTCTGTCTCTCAGCTGCTGTCTCACCATCTGGTTGTTTTTGGAAGGAGGAAGGATGAGAAGGAAAAAGTCGAGGGAATATCCGGTGTTTGTGGACCAAAAGGGGAGGGGGGCCAAGCTCTGTCTCAGTTTGAACATTCAAACCAGCCAATCAGGAGGAGAGGACCAAAACGGAGGGAAAGTGAAAACGAGGAGTTTTTAAATTAAAATGGAAAATGGGGAACGGATAGCCAAATAGAGCCAGCCTATTTTTCTTAAATGAATGCTTGTTCTGTTTAAATGTGTGCAGAAAGTGTGACGTGAATGAAAACAGCAGATTCTGAAGACATGATTTTAGGAGGTATGTCAGGATTTTTGAAGGGAGACTCTGTTATTCGTTAGTAACTTACTTGCAGTTGATAGCACTGGTCCTGTTTGCGTTGAATGGCTAATTACAGAGAAACTGTCGGATTATTTACACAGAAAATAAAAGTTGAAGGTGTTGTGGCACCGATGATGTTCCTGTGAAAAATATACCAAGAACAGAATATGTAAAGCAGCTGAATAGAACCATACTTACAAATTGCTGCACTATTGCTTTAAGCAAACTCTGCGTCTGTTGTCTCTATTACCAAATATAAGGCAGGAAACTGGAATGAAGCGTCTTCTGGGAGGGAACGCTGACCTCTCTGCATCTTCTCACAACTCATGGTTGATTGTGGCTCCCTGGCAGCAGAGGCTCAGCCCTAAACGGCCGGTCAAGTTACGCCACGCTGTTCAGTGTGTGGGTGTAGAAATGCACTAAGCCTTTGCTAATCTTCTCTTATTGTTGCTCATGTTTATTCTATAAGCTTTTTCAATTATAAAAGCTTTATCTTTAGAAAAACAGATGCTTCCTCTCTGACTTTACCGTGACTCAGCTGTCTGGAAAAAGCTCTTAATACTGGGGAGAATATAAGATTTCATGAAATAAGCATGTGAGCAGTGTTGATAAATGTACCAGTTCTTTAAGTGAACTAATTCTGACTTAGACAATAAAATATATTTCGCAAATGTCTTTTGGGTTTTTTTTATATCTGGAATAGAAGCTACATCAGTATGGCAATGTGTTGTGCAAAAATCCCAACCTTTAAGAAATGTAACTTTCACTGGTGTACAAGTACACAATGATGAAGGAATAAAATCAGTAGAGATGATTTGACTGATTGTGTGCGATTGTTTTGTAACGTACATAAGAGAAAGAATGTTTTGCAGGTTATATGATAGGAGTAGTAAAAACCAAAAAAACAAATTTTAATGCATTTTGATAGCATTTATGAAACTATTTTCATGAAACTGTGAAATTTGAATAAGACACACAAACTTTGTTGATGTGTTCATTGATCTAAAATGATGGGAGTTTTCATTTTTGATGCATTTGCTAAATGAGTGAAAATATAATATTTCAGTAATGAAACTAAATAGCTGACATTTCAAAGAAAATGTTAATTTAATGGGATTGCAGGCCAAGAAGGGGGCCAGAGCCTGAAAATAGCATTACACATCAGGAACCTGGATAAGTTTTTGTGTTTGATAACATTTCTATCCTTCCTGCAAATAAATGTTTATGTTGGTGGTGCTCAGTGCTTCACAGCTTAGTCCAGGTTGACCTTAAGTTGCTCCACAATTCTCTCCTGAGCTGCTTTACAAGAGTAAGTGGCTTAAACACTGTTGCAGCTTCAGGTTCCAGATTTGATAACTCGCCAACATGCAAATGCAAACAAATCGGCAAATGCACACATGCAAACTCTTCGCTCTTGTTAAACTCTTCACTCTCATTTTGTTTGTCTTCCTTTCCATTTCTGTCTATGACTTAAGTGTTGAGGGCTGGATGATACAGAAAGATTAGTGTCACATGGACGTTTTGTGACAAGGAACGAGGATCACATGCTCCAACTTGTGTCAGTTTCGCTGTCATGTGTGTGCGTCTCCAAGTCATGCATGCACATGACTTGGAGATGCACTGTTTGTGTTTGTGGGTCTGGGTGTGAAATGGAAACTAGTCAGTGTGGTGCAGCACCATCACATTCTCCATGAGAATATCTAACATCATTTCCTGTCCCACTCATAAACCGCTCTCATTCCCACAGGCTGCAGACATCTGGACACACACACACACACACACACACACACACACAAACACGCGCACACACACACACACACACAAGTATAGAAGGAAATGGTTTTTAGGAATGTAACAAAGCTAACAAAGCATTACTTCACTTAAGGGGATGATGTTATCAGGGATCTGTACTCGATCTTTTCTGCCTAAAAACAAATAGATTCTTTGAAACAAACTTTTTTTTTGTCTTTTGCTTTGCCTTCAAGAAAAAAAAGTATTCAGATTGTGATTCACAGTCTCCAGTGTGTGTGCTCAAATGGACTGAGGATATCTATATACTTTAGTATATAATAATAACAATAATAATAATAATATATACACAGTTATACGAAGTATTTAATAATATATCTAAGATAGTATCACCTTGTGTTCATTTTGCTATGCCACTGTTTTATGACTTCATTTCATATATCCGATAACATTTAAAAAACAACAAAAAATTTTATTAATTTATTTGAAGACTTTTAAATAACATTATACTTTCTGTTATCCCTAATAGTGAGCTTTAATTTAAGAAGCTATGCAGTGAAAACATTCTGACAGTATGAAAGCCGAAGGCAGTTTGAAAGTATGGAAATTTTATTTAAAAAAAACACACACAAAAACGCTCACTTGCCATACTTGCACTGCATAATGTCCCTGAAAGTCATTAGATGAAGGAAGCAGCAACATCCATTTGAACAAGCCTGCATCCTTTCCTCATCACCATATGCTCTGCTATGTGTGCCAATGAGAGGCGTGGAGCTAAAACTGGACTCAGTGCAGTTGGTTTACTGAATGAGGTCAGATAAGGGGCTCCTCATGTACGTTTCTCCTCTATGCATGAACTTCACACTGATCCCACCGCCCTGCGGTGGCACCATGCGTTATAATGCAGTTACCATTCCTGTCTCATTCTTTACTTCCCTGCAGACTGCAGAGGAACAACAGCAGCTCTTGCCAGTGAATATCTGTGTGACATTAATGATTTAAAGCATCCATTTAGTTGCTTCTTTATTACGGTCTTGGGACAATAAACGTGTAATCAGAACGTTTTCAGTGCTGCCATAATCCCATAAAGTTCTAAACGGTTTATAGTGCTAGATAAAGATGTCCAGACAAGCATGCAATTAGTTTATTCTAAGCTTTGACTTTGTTTTCCTTTTTTTGTTTCCTTAAATTAAATCTCCAAGATTGGAAAATCTGCGACAACCTATGGACCGTACCAGATGCTAATCAGACTTTTAAGTGAAAACGTGTGTTTTGGGCAGATGATGTCGAGATTGTTCTAACACCAACATTTTACGGGGAGGAAAATGTGATTCAGTGTGTGGAAAAAGAAACCAATGTTCACCAGTTCACCAAAATTAAACATCTGTGATGACCAGCTCCCTCCACAAACCCAACTTGTGAGGAGCGCCTAAGTACAGAGAATAAGACAGGACTTGATCTTTTTTGTTGTTTTGTTTCGAGATCATGCAAAAAGGGAGGCAATTTACACTTCCTTACGCGTCCAGAAAGTGCACAAGGCGACATGTGAATGCATAGATATGTTGATGGAATCAAAGGATCGCTGTTAATAGTGGAGGTGAGATCACGCCTTTCACCGGCCAAACAAAGTGCCAGCGATGGAGAGAATCCATCACATTCCTGTACCCTCTTCCCCCTCCCTCCCGTCTCGTTCCTCCTCTCTCCGGAGACGCATGATCACAGGCTGAACTGGAACAGCTGTCACGCCACAGCTCCCTCCTTCTCTCTCGCTCACATGCTCTTATATATAGACATGAAGCACGCCATGGGTGATGTAATATCCTCTAAGTGGGCACTTAGAGACTGTGATGTTGTGTGGCTGTTTCTAAGGGTCAAGCGGCATCGATGCTTAGCATTAAAGCATGC